GTGAATTGAAAACAAACCTGACCCTCCCTTCATTGAGTGACTTTTGTTTGGTCAAATGCGAGGATTACCAAAGAGGAGGTAATAATAGCATTCCTGACATTGCAACAATGACCGCGTTATTTTGATGCATTGTCCCTAAACCTACCGAAGAGGCTCTTTGTCCTTGTCTGGGAGGACAAGCACTTTAGACTGGGGCTGTAGTCTGATTTCAAGAAAGGAAAACAATTTCGGGACAGTTCAAAATAATGCTTTGAAATGGAAATTCAAATGATACCGTTTTAAAAACCAGAAAGATATGGTTTGAGGACAAGAAGCAGGATGTAATTCATTGCTCGGCAATCTTGACTGTATTTAAAACAGAGCATCCAATATACCTGATATTTAATAGTACTGTACAATGTCAATTAAATAAAATAACTAAATAAACAAACAAATAATGGACCTCTTTAGCCAAGACTGTGGATTTTTATTGTTGAGCACTAAATGATTCTGCTCGGTCATACAGGCTAGGTGGGGGAATGCTTTCAATAGACTTAAATTTGAAAGGCCCTTTGTATCACTTCGTGCAAAATGACATAGGGCACTTCTAATAAATTTATACGAGAAGTAAAACCCTGTTCATCATTGTTTTCGTGTTGCAAAGTTGTTTACAGACTGAAAAAGGGATAGTACGGGACTGTAGAGAGTGAATAAAACTAGGAAATTATAATTGCAAATGTAAAACAACGTTGTAAACCTAGCAATAAGAGGCTCTTGAATGCAGTTTTTAAATGGACATGGCTTTGGGGCTACCCGCTACCGCCGCCAGGCTACGCTGTCGATCGCCAGCTAGCTGTCGATCGCCAGCTAGCTGTTAATGACTTTACAAAATATGCCGATTTACTGATTTCACGCTTTCGGGAGGCATATTTATTATTATTTTTGTAGTCCGATGTTGTCAAGATTGCCCCTAATTTTTTTCTTTCAGTTACTGATATATTAGGGATGTTTTATGTTATTTTCATTTATTCTGCAAACTACTGACTTTAACTTAAAGTGATATGACAATAGGTTACTGCCCTGACATTGCATAATGAATAGAACACGGGTCTATTCAATTTAGTATACGCTACGAATTCTATAAAAGGGCACCAATGAATAAAGGAAGCTTGGCTTTTCAATAGCTTGCACCTGCAATTTTTGAATAGTTACGTAACAAACTACTCAGCTCTAATTTCAGATATGGCATCAATTAATGAATTGAAGAAAAAAAATCCGACCCTCCCTTCATTGGGCGAATACTTTTGGCAAATACGTGGATTACCAAAGAGGTAATAATAGCATTCCTGACATTGCAACAATGACAGCATTATTTTAAAGTATTGTCTCTAAAGGTAGCATACTGAATAAGCTATTTATCCTTGTCTGGGAGGACAAGGCCTTTCAATATCCCCATGCATAAGAAAAGAATAGGCCATGGGGCTGTAGTCTGATTTCAAGAAAGGAAAACAATTTCGGGACAGTTCAAAATAATGCTTGGAAATGGAAATTCAAATGATACCGTTTTAAAAACCATCAATTATATATGATTTTAGGACAAGAATCAGAAGATTCGTAAATATTCATAATTGAATGACACACGCCCTTAAAACTAAAACAACAACAACAACAACATGATTTTTCCGTAGAGATCAGTGGGTTGTATTTAATACTATAGGAGCAGCAGCAGCTACAGTACCGTACCCTGCCCGGTATCCGCCCGATAGGCAGTTTTTCTTAGATAACTTTTCTGAAAATGAATTATACAGGCGCTAATGTATATCAATTTGTAGCCGAAATTCTAGCGAATCCAACCATGCCATTCTTATGCCTGAAATCGTAAGCAATAATTGTCCGTAGTGCGCCGTCTGCGTGAGGCATTTTCCTTGCCTATTTCCGCCTAGACCTGCCCTAATTCGTCCCGATGGTGGACGCGCATCAAAAGTATAGAAAAGGCCCGGCCCCCCCCCCCCCCCCCCCACTCAGTGTTAGGGTACGCATATGCTCGTACCCTTTTTTTGAAAGCACCCCCTATCTGAGGACTGCCAACATTTCCGAACCCCCCTTTCGCGGGCTTTTCGCGTGCTTTTCCTGCCTTGGAGACCCCCCTAAATCAGGAAAAATGCTCAATGTACCCCCCCCCCCCCCTAAATTCGGAATAATTTCTCAGGAGTTCAAAGAGATGAGAGAAAAAAAGAAAAACACCCCCTTTTTAAAGAAATCTCCGGGTGAAAAGTCAAATACACCCCTTTTTTTACAATTCTCGGGCCGGACTTTGTCGCACGAAAAGTACCCCTTTACCGGACATTTTGGCAACACGCATGCGGTCATTCCGACCTCTGAGTGGGGGGGCCGGGAGAAAAGGGAGACATCTCGGGTAAACGTTAGGCCAAATAAAATTGCTTCCCAGTAGAATTTGATCTACATGATATTTTGATAATTGATATTTCTTTCTTTATTTCTTCTTTTGCCTCTGTAGGCCTACTAATAATGTCTGTTCACTGTTATTCACCACTTTCTGATCTGGGAAAATTCTGTAACTGCCTTTCCGGGAAAATCCTGTGACTTGTCTTTAATGTTTTAATAATGGTAATCAGACAAATCTGACTAAAGTCACTTAACATATCGCTAATCATTTTTAAATTAACCACTAGGGTGAAAGAATTTAATTTAAAAAAAACTATAACCACTATCAAAGTGAACATATTGTAAAAGAAAGTAATGGTGCTTCATTTTTATTTATTTTTAAATGCAAACTATTCTCGACATCTCTCAAATCTTGATTCAAAAATAAATTAGCGTATATTTTTAGGCATAATAATTGGTTGGAAAAAGCATCTAGCAATATTGTCATTAGAATTATCATCATCGCCGACATCGTCTAAATCATCATCATTACAATTTTAGGGTATATAGGTCTATAACGCAAATGTGGTTTCCTTTTTGATTATTTGTTTAAGACTTCAAGTTGTTGTGTTTTTTGTTTTCCACTTGTTCTAAATTATGCAGTATTATATTTTGATAATGCATTCAATAATAATTATAGCCAACTTGAAAGACAAAACTTTCCGAAATGATCTTAAAAACGAAGTTGTCGATTCACTTCCATAGAAAGTCAGTGTTTTTTTTTTTGCAAAATAATGTAGTATAATAATTAATGCAAAAGGAGTGGTGGTAGGGGGGGAGGTCACCAGTCACGTTTTTGCCACTTCAACATCCAAAGAGGGTTGAAAGCTATTGTATAAGTATTTTGTTGACATTACCGAGAACAACTCAAATCATGTCCTGCAATGTATTGCCCTTCTCTAAATTTGGCACTATACCCCCTCCCCCACATCTTCTACATAATTCATCTATTTATTTATTCATTCAATATTCATTCATTTTATTGCCGAGAGATATTAATGTGATGGATAGAGATAAAAAAATGTTCACCTTTTATTCGCCATAAAACTTTAGCAAACTAACAACGTATATAAGAATTACCCTAGCCATTTGAAAGGCTGACAGGCGTATAGGCCCTTGTGAAATGTATCATTTATAGTTTTATACTACTCTTTCGATAGCCATTCATATAGGTTTATTTCACATAAAACAACATTTATTTTATTCACAGTCAGCTGACGGAAATTTGATAGCAGCGAAAATGTCATGGTCCGTGTTGGCAAAAATATATAACACACAAACATTTGAAAAAAGATATTATAGCCTAATGTATAGAAGCACTAAGAAAAAGGATGTAAAAGTGAAGAGGGAGACTAAAAGAAAAATCGGGGAAAGGAGGGGTGTAATCGAAGAAAATTGAGGGAATAAATTAAACTAAATTAATTAAAACAAAAACTAATACATCAATCCTCTGCCTGCATCCTGTATCGTATCAGAAACAAGCACTCTTTTCGCTACAAAGCCACGACGCTGGATTGAAAGGCGACACAAGCTTCAGCGACATAGAACATAAATACAAACTTTTTGCAAATCTACCAAACCTGGCAACTTTTTTAAAAGCCGGACTTAGTTGTCATCGGGATCACTTTTGGAGAACCGAACTTCAAGCATTTTTTGCAACATTAATCAATCATATATAATTTTGTCACAAAATTTAACTGCATGATTATCACATTACCACATCGTTACCAGAAATTGTCGGTTGCTCGATCGAACGAACGGCCAAACATCATTGCAACATTCTTCGGGGGGGGGGGGGTTCAATCTCAGCCTCCCACCTTATTCGCCTACCATTACCCCCCGGAAAACTACCCCCAAAGATAATTACCCCTAAGGACAATTACCGTGCCTCGACGAGCTACCCCCGGAAAAGAGTCCCCCCCCCCCCCCACCCCCTGAAACTTAACCCCTATATAGGACAATGCCCCCCTGGGACAACCAAGGACAACCGCCCCGAGGACTACCCCCTGTTCAGTATGAACAGGGGGAAGTCAACCTCGATAATTAGTTGGGTAATTTTTAGGGGGAGATCATTAATTTCAGGGGGTGGTAATTGTCCTCTGGGGGTTTAATTGTCCACGGGGGGGGGTAATAATTGTCCTAGAGGGTAATTTTTCGGGGGGGAGTAACTTCCTCGGGGTGGTTGTCCTCGGGGGGGGGGGGGGTAATCGTCCTTGGGGTAATTATTGTACCGCTAATTGGCCGGGGGTGACATGCCCAAGGGGTAATTGACCTAGAACCTTCAAAGGGCAATAAATAAACAGCTACTCAATTTACACTGAATTTTATTTTCTGGTTGTAAACTCAACAAAAAATGAATGGCCACCTCTAAATGATTATTTTGTAGACCATGCAAGTGAGCCTGCAAAATGTTAAGTTTAGTAGCACGGTTATGATTGCTCATCAAAAAGTGAAACAACATTCCGTCTGGCAGATTTTGACAACTGCATGGCTGTAATCCCAGTAAAGAATTTTATGCCTGGTGACCATGTTATCTCATTTATGATCTTTCTTTTATTTGCAAAATGTAGGTCAACATATACGGGGGGGGGGGGTGAATTCCCAATTTACAAACTGTTTATAGGTCGAATGTAGTTTTATAGTATTTGTGTATTCTTCACCTTCTTCATACTCTCGAGTTGCGATTTTATGGAGTAAACCGAGTGTTTTATCATGGAAAAAAGACAATGAAGTGTGCACTTTCAAAAAACCAACCGCAGACCTAAAAACACACAAATAGACTAAAAAACCACGGGCAGATAACCTTTTCTCTGTTAGAGCATAAACAACGCACGGTACATACACTGAACTAGCGCGTGTGTTTGAGTGGGCGGAAATAGGGCAGGGGCATCACAGGGCGACATGGTCGAGTTCAAGCCTCGATAACTTTTTTATAAATAATAATTTTCGCAAGAAATTTGCTCAGGTAAAACATCAGGAATTTAAACTTCCATATCTCTTTAAACAAAAGTAAAATTTCCACCATATTTTTTTTCTGATCGTTTTGAATAGGAACTTGATGTTTTTTAAAAAGGTTGATTCACACCTAAATAAGCGCATAGCTGACTGCTGCACAGTGACGTCATTCGCGTATCTCCGTTAAATGGGCGATCGACAGTGTACCATATTTCGTGCACATGTTCCTTACAACGTGTATGCTGCTATAGGCAAGTTAGTCGCACGCCTTCATTGCGCACCGTAGAAACTCGGGCGATGGAAGACGGCCGTTGTGTCTAATAAGCCAGGCAGTGGGGGGCGGTAACTGGGCAGGGTACGGTACTGTTATTAGTAAACATATCCTCTGGCTCTGTTGAGTTGCTCATCACATTTGAAAAACAATTTACAAAAATGTACAGAAGAATTCGTATTCCTCGAAGCTGGCTTGTAAATTCTTCAAGATGTAAAAGCACAACTGTTTCGTCTTTTAGTTCCAAGCCAAATGACAAGTTAGAAACTGCAAGCCGAACGTCTTCAGCCGCAGCTGTATCAACCAACCACAGAGCGCAGCAACACACTGCGCCTGAGCTACAGGGCCAGGGTTCCCAAGCACCCCCGTTCAAGAGAGCTCAGCGAGGGACTTTCTTCCAGGAGCGACCACGCCTAGGAAATGTCTATCTTGAAGATGCAGCATTGCAGTCTTACTTGAATAGATACATATCATCAGAAGTATGCTTGTGTTAAATACATTTCAAATTTGTGTTACTATTCTCTTTTTCTTCTTCATCCTTTAAATATTCCCCTCTTTTTACTATTGATCTTTTTAAACCCAGTCTTATGCATTTTAATCTTCTTTTTATTGGACTCTCGGTCTGTGCCTGATTTAGTAAAATTTAGTTATTGCACAGCTCGAGAGCCCTTTTTTTATGTAATTGTAATGATGTATACTTATTCGTTTATATGTCCTTTTTGCAATATTTACTGATAATAGTTTAGTTATTTGATATGTTAACTTATGTAACTTATGTATTTATTCATTACTGCTATTTTATTATGTATATTTGATTTAAGTTTTATTTTTGTACCCAAGACAGTTGTCAGTCTTTGGACTGTTTGCTCTTGGTTTTTGATGTTTTAATTTCAATAAAATCCTATTATTATTATAATATTGTGTCGAATTTTATTTAGATTCTGAGCATGATGAATAAAGAGAAAAAAATGTCGGTGTCATTTTCTTATTTTCTGGTACCGTTTATGCAAATGCATTATTAATAAATAATTGTCACCAAATTGTCATGGGAATCGTCTATCTTTCATTTCATTTCTTTTCTTTTGAACTTTTCAGGCCCTCTCTCCCATTGAAGATGACTTGGAGAGATTCGGAGAGCGAGTCGTGGAGGAAATCGAAGCCCTTAGCATCGAGTGCGAAGAGAATCAACCTTACGTCAAGCATTTTGATGCGTGGGGGAACCGTGTGGATGATCTTATCACATGTGAAGCATGGAAGAAACAGAAGGCTATAGCAGCACAGGAAGGGATCGTTGCTATTCCATACGAAAGGAAATATGGCTCCTGCAGGTAATTTGGTCTTTCTGTGTTGAAGTACATGTACATGTATGATGTACCAATCACCAAAGATTATATTGTGGCGTAACCGTGCTCTGTCGGAGTAGCGTTCTGCCATGTGCAGTCTCTCAAAACCCGGTCCACGCCCTCGACAATCATTCATCAACGATCTCTCAGTGCGCTCTCACAAAAGTATATTGTGTAAGAAAAACGTGGACTAGCTCTCATTTTACTCACTCCTGCAACCACTAAATGTCTGACAGGAACTCAAAAAACAACACTTGCACAGTATCTGCCGTTCAAGTAACTTTATCTCGTTCCTTAATTGTAACGTACCTGTCGCAACGACAGCTCAACACTGACTGACCGACATCTTACGATGTCCAACTATATATTTCACAATTATCTATAACGCCCTCTACGTCTTACTAAATTACTGGACTAGTTATGCTACAATATTTGGCTCTGAAAGTTAGGGTGTGATGTAGTACTAAATCAAAAAATATCAGCTTCAAATATAAAGAAACTTTTATGCAGAGATGTATGCTATCAATGAACTTTAAAGTGACATGTGAGTATAAGTCGACACACATGTACACATTATCATAGAATAGAGCCCACATGCATGGAACCCAAGTCTGACTTGGGTAGGTTGGGTTCTGTGTGACATGTGCAGGATTATTTATTTTGTAATAGTCTCTTTCCCTCGGTCTTAAATGGGCTTTTTTCTGTTATGTGTTCCAAAACAAGTTCTTACATTGTTAGCACTCATAATGTTGTATTCTACTGTCATCTTACCATATCTTTATTATGGAATTTTTGCATGGGGAAATGCAGCAAAAACAAGAATTGATACCATTTTACTGCTTCAGAACAAAGTTTTGAGAATAATACAAATACTTCCTTCAGTACACACTGATGTTTTATTTCTCTAAAATCACATTTATTGATGACAGTTAATCAAATTATGTTCAAACTAGAAATAACATTATTTTTGAAGAAGTTATAAAGAATAATACTTTATATACGGTACATACATGTATAGTATTAGACAATTTAATCATTTATCACTTGCAAAAAAGCAGATCAATTTTTTTTTCTAGCAAAACTATAGTTTTCACAGGACTAAAAATTTAGAATTCACTGCATAAAACATTAAGAGAAGCCTAAACTTTAAATGAATTGAAATCGCTTGTTAAACAGTTAATACTGAATTTTTACTGATTTAATTGACTCTCTACTCGGTATTTTTTAAATCTCTTTGACATAATTCATATTTTGCTTGACTCATGTATTGTATCCAAATATTTAATCTGTATATAATTTACGTACATTATATGTAATGGTTTTTTGTAGCTTTGTTTTCTATTATATTTTGTTATTTTGCTTTATTGCTAAATTATAAAAATGTTTACAACTCTTTTTTTTAATAGTCAGGGGAACTACATTTTATGAGCTATAAGTTTCTCAGTAGATTCCTCCATATTTTCCCATTACTTTGTTGTTCTCAATCTATTCTTTATTCTCTGCATTTTGTTCCTCAAATTAATGTAAGGCCTAAAAAAAAAAAATTATGACTTGGCGTAACCCGCCCGACCCTATTTTTATCGCCGACCCTACGCTTTTTTTTTTTTTTTTTAATTTATTTATTTATTTATTTTTTTTTTTTTTGTTTTTTTGTTTTTTTTTTTTTGATAAAGGATTCTGAAATACTGGAGACATTTTTTAACTGTTTGTTATTACAGAGCCATTCACAATTGTAAATATTTTCACAAGTTGTAATTGGCTACTCTTTTCAACCCTCATTCTTCAAGATTTTGGATACATGTTAACATGTTAACATGTTAACCTCTAGACAAGTTATAAAAATGCTAGTCAATACATTGTGAAAATACTAATATTTGTGAACAGCCCCTTCTAAACTTACATATTCACCTGTTTATCCTGTTGAAGACAGTGTCTGAGATATCTCAGGCTGGGGTCTGTTGGAAACCTATTAATGCGTTTTATGTGCATGAGGGTGTATGTACATGTACATGTATGTATGCAGGGGGGGGGGGGGCAGGTGTATGTATGCATCCCCCAGGTCCCAAGGTGTTCAAGATTTCAACAATTTCTTGCTCACTTTGCTCACACAGTGTGTGTGTCCATATATGTGTGTGTGTGTGCGTGGAGTTATTTGAACATATTGTGGTCTACCCCTCTCATCAGATCATCCCCAAGGTCTGAGGACCTATCTACGCCACTGTATGTATGTATGTGTATGAATGGCTAATTTCATGTATGCAAATATAAGCAACAACAACAACCAAAAAAAAAAAAAATCGCCCTACCTACCCTAATTTTCAGTGACCCGTTACGCCAAGTCATCAATTTTTTTTTTTAGGCCTAATGGATAACTTATAAAGCATGATACAGTGTTGATAGTAATGATGATAGGAGCAGAGGTCACCACTGCAATTGCACAAGATAAGAAATTATAACCTACATTAAAAATGACCACCTCCTTGTTTTCCATAATATTTGTAAAAGCAGGAGGGTTTAAGGGGGGTAATACTAATTATGTATGTATGGGACTATGGGTATCACTATTTGTGGTATTATTTACCCCAAAGTCAAGCCCACCCCCCTCCCCCCCCCCCCATTTTAAGCTAATGATAATAAAATGAGACATTCTTTTGTAGATGTTCGTACTTTGTTATCTACAAAATTATGCGACAGCTCATTTTTGAATTACCAGAACATAAGGCTCTTCAAAATCAACTTCATACTTTTCTTTAAATGCTAATTATGTCACATTTTAACTTTATTACTTTCCTACAGCCGTGTTTATCAAGCAGCTAAAATGATATTGTATGGCCCCTCATCTGGCTTATACTCGTGCCCTCTCGCTATGACTGATGGGGCTGCTAAGATGTTTGAGGTGAGAAGAGCACTTTGAAAAAAAAGATAATTGTTGATAATATACAGTTATTGACTGGCAGGGGGTGTAATATAACCATATCGTGACCATATTTTTCCCTCAGCGCTGCACGCTTCGGGAAAATATAACCACTTGGGGAATATAACTCCCTTCAAGTCCAAAGAATGTTATATACCCCCTGCCAGTCAATAACTGTTATATTAGATAGCCTTGGGTGTTTTTTTTTGGGGGGGGGTCCATTTTTTTTTGCCCGAAATTTTAAAAAAAAATTTGGGGACAATCAAAATTGCGGAAAAATAATCTGTCGAGATAGTTAAAAAAAAAAAAAAAACCTTACAAAAAAAAAAAAAATCTTACCCATAATAGCATATTTCGGGGGGAAAAAAAAAGGAAAAAAAAATTAGCCAAAAAACCATTTTTTGGGAAAAAAATAAAATGTGGGAAAAAATAATTTCAAGGGAAAAAAAAATTCATGAAAAAAATATTGAAAAAATAAAATGACCCTCGGTAATGGTGTAATGTGTGTAATTGGTGACAAACATACAGTCCTCAAGAGGGCGACATGCATTGATTAAAAATATATTCATTTCACCAGGCGGTAAAATATAACCAACCAGGAAAATATAACAATTTGGTTCCTTGCAATTGATATCACGTGACGAGTTCTGGACCAATCACATCTCGGAATCTGTCTAAGCTATCTAATATCATTGTTTACATTACATCCACTTAATCATTATTCGCATAGACCTGCTTGGAGGCAATCTATTGGCTGATTGGGTGTTTTTTTGTTATTGATAGATCAGACAAATTCATCTACATCTGATGTAAAAGTTTGATTTTTTTTCTTTTACTTGTGGTAAAATGAAGATGTTTTGCCAATATTGAAACAAGATCACTTGCTATAGCATACACTGTAAATAGTTTAAATAGAACACGACTATTACCAACATAATGCATGAGAGAGAGAATCCTTTGGCAGATTATGCAAACAAACAAGAGGGAGGGGATGTATCAAAGAGATCATTACCGGTAAATTATTATTAGGCCATTTTTGTAATGTAATCCATTTATCGTTATTGAAGGGTGACTAAATTACAAATTCATGTTGACTTTTGTTGACCTGTAATAATGTATACTGTAAATCTCTGTGTATAAGGCGCACTTTTTTTCTGTCGGGAAAAATCAAAAGTCGTGGGGTGTGCCTAATACACAGGTACAGGATATTTGAGTCCTCAAAATGCTACTTTTTAGTGGTTTCCGAAAATCTCTGTGTCTCAACATGAATTACATAATGCAAATAAAGAATAGGATCTACTATTTGAAGTAAAAGTACGTTCCTAATTTGAAGGGAAGAGAGTTTTTTTGTTTTTTTTCAGTCTCAATAAATTATGCCCCTTAAAGGTACTATGTCCCTTTTGCAGCCAACCTTAAACGCTGTAGAACTTTGCAGGAATTATGAATATTTCATGTATATCCTATCTGTGAAATTTAAACGTTAGCAGTGTCCTCATATTCAAATTATGCAAGGAAACCCGTTTACTTGCTAGAATTCACTGTCAGACACTATTGAGTGACTGACTGGCTTTTTTTCTTCTTGGGTAATAACATACATGAAAAGAGTTGTAAAGGGTACATGAGCATTTCTCTACATCAATAACCCACTTGTGATGGCCAAGATTAAACTGATTTAATCTTTGCGCAGCATAAAACGTATGACCATTCAGTACAATTGTCTGAAAATCAAGACTATTACTTTTGGGCTCTATAGCCCTAAAGTCAATTTGACAACTAATAGTCGTTATTTTTCCACTTGAAGACATTTTCAAGCCCCACCTTTTTTAGGGAAGTTCTAAATTAATATTATCTTTCAAATGCAGTTGGAATTTAACTTTTTCATTTTTTTGGCCTGCAAATGGAACATAGTACCTTTAACAAAGCCCTTTGCCGGCCGAAGCTCTCTGGGGTCTCCAGCTCACTTACACGGGGGATATCGACTCACCACTCGAAATCTAGCCTGTCCAAATTTTGGTTTGGACTCGGGAGGAAAAAATTTCTGTCATCTTTAGTTTTAAAAACAACGGCGCTAGTGTAGCAAGGTATCCAAAATATAGCCTACTAAAACAGACCCCAAATTTTGTGGTCATCATTACCCTAACCCTAACCCTAACCCTAACCCTAACCCTAACCCTAACCCTAACCCTAACCCTAACCCTAGAACCCTAACCCTAACCCTAACCCTAACCCTAACCCTAGAGATAATGATAAACACGAAATTTGGGGTCTAAAATTTGAGGTCTGTTTTAGTAGGCTATATTTTGGATACCTTGCTACACTAGCGCCCAAACAACATTGTTACTATTCTTTTTTACTTTGACTTTTTTACTGTAAAGGCGTAATAAATAAAAGTCCTTCCCAATTCCCTGCATCATGGCTTAGGTTTTCGAACGGGACCGCACGCTGAAATAAGAGACGAATCTGAGATGGTGTCGGCAAAAAAGCAAACCCAAAAGGAAAAAAAATGTTGTTTTTTTTTTTTTTTTTTTTTTTTTAAATCTCAAAAATAGGGGTGCGCCATATACACAGGTGCGCCTTATACACAGAGATTTACGGTACATCACATATCTTTTGACTTTCTGATGTACATTTGGTCATATTTTTTGTATTATTTTTTTCTATTACTTTTGTTCTACCTGCTAAGTTCTACCCCTAAAAACCCCTCCAAAAGCAAATGACTTCTGTGACATCATGCCAGTCATTCATCAGTCAGCTAGATGAACAAAAGACATTGGTATGTCCCTTCCCTTCAACTGACCACCTGTTCACAATAGCACTGCATGTTGTTTTATAGGATGCCCACTCACAAAATTTAATTATATTTTAAGCAGTTGCTCCATGTGTATGTCAGAAATCCCCAAGAAAATCCAAGAAGGGTTTCAATGGGCTATTATATGAAAACATGCAATGCTACTCAGTGGGAGATGACATACCACTGTCTTTTGTTCATGTTTATCTAGCTGACTGATGAAACCATTTATGTGCACCCCTCCCGTGAGCTATACTGCTCACTATGAACATGACGGACAAATAAAGCGGACAAAATATACAGTTTCTCGTTCAACCCTCAACAAATGCTATGGTAGACAAAGGAACATCCCTTCACTGCTATTATGTAAAAATCTGTAGAACAGATGTCACATGCATATTCACCTGTTCTACACATGTTTACATGATAGCAATGAAGGGATGTTCCTTTATCTACCATAGCAATTGTTGAGGGTAGAATGAGGAACTGTATATTTTGTCCGCTTTCTTTTTCTGACATATTTATTCTTCTATGTCTTCTGATTGATCGATTTGCCAGTCTAGACATGTGTTACTTTTTTTTAATTGGTTACTGAATATTGAATATTCATATAGTTCATTTGGTATTCATGAATAAAAGGAAAGGGCCATGTGGTTCTGAACCAGTCTTCAATCAAAAGTTGAAGTGCAAAGCATCTTCTATTTTCTGAGTAGATTGAGGAAAATCATGTCTATGAGGCTGTTCACACAGGCAGAGATAGCGCGCGCTAGACCGCGCTATCTCTGAGGTGTGGAAGGAACAACGTCATTTTGGTCCGCCCAACAGCGAGCCACGGCGTGCCACTGGAGCACCTCTTGGGGGTGGTCCACGAGAGATAGCGCGGTCTAGCGCGCTTGAAAAAAGGGGGTGCTACGATAGACCGTGCATTGTGGTGTGAACAGCCTCTCTGTTGCTTCCCAATTTACTCTTGATAATGTAAGTTTCCAATATTTTGTAGATAATAATTCCTCAAGGTTTATAAAGATATGGAAGAAGTAAATTGGTTGGGGCAAGGTGGGATTTCCTTCCACATGTTTATGTTTAAATTGGAGAACAAAGATTTTGGGACTTTTTTCAATGTCAGATTTCCATGTATGATGTAATTTACCCACAGAATCTATTTTCATAGAGCCTTATGAACAGGAATGAGACCAAATTTCTTTTGAATTGTGCAATAAGTTGGAACTTGGAAGGATGTTTTGTGGTAAATAAACTGCTAAAGTCATTTTGGAACAGGGGTTATTTTTTACCAGTCAGAAACAAGTTTATTTTGATGCCTTGTTTTTTTATTGATTTCCAGTCACTAGTTATTGGGCAAATTTAAGTAACTTTTGTTCTTACTATTTTGTCATTTATTGCAGAATGATGGCGGGTCACAGTTGAAGCAGAATGCCTTTGGTCATCTAACATCTCGAAACCCCGAGACATTCTGGACGTCTGGACAGTGGATGACCGAGAGGAGAGGGGGATCTGATGTCGGTCAGTAAAAACCACAATCTTTGAAATTTAAAACTCTTGCACAACAAAACTTTCACAAATTTCAAAAGCTCATGGTTGTAATTTAGCTATTTTTGGATAGAACGAACATGAATCTTGGCCATTCATGAATTAAATTTTAAAAATGTCAGGCTCGTGGAAATATTTGGTTTCATTATTAGTTTAATATATACTGTTGGAGCAATTATAATATATTTTCTGTAGCCATTCTGCTGTGCTCTTAAATTCTATTTTGTAATGAATCTGCTCAGATTACCATTTTATACAATTGATGTGATTTAACGTTCCATTCATTTGCCATGTGCTGTAGCTGGAGGAACAGAGACATTGGCCTACCCACAGAACGATGGATCATTCCATCTCCATGGTTACAAGTGGTTCTCGTCAGCCTCAGACAGTGATATGACTGTAGCTCTAGCAAGGATAGTGGATGATGATGGCCAATATAAGGAGGTTGGTCCCACTCATGTTTTATATATTTATGATATAAGTAATATCGGTGATATTTCATCAAATTTGATAAACTTGATGTTAAATATAATGAGAAGGCTCCCTTCGAGTGTGCGGTGGACAAGGATTTGTTAACATTCTTTTGTAAGGTTATGGTCAAACAGGGATAGGATTACTTGTGTGGTGTGGTATGCATTTGTGCCCTTTTTCATCTATGGAATGTTCTGCAATGCAGTGACCTTTGATGTAAATAGCAGACTATAGAGAGGTTAATCTTTGTATGTTTATTTACAATTTAAAATATATATTTGTTTCTATTATTGCTGTCATATCCATGTTCAATCTGTTTTTTTTCACAGGGTACGAGAGGACTATCTCTGTTTTATCTTGAGACTCGTACACCAGAAGGTAAACTCAATGGAATAGAGATACAACAGCTGAAGAACAAACTTGGGACCAGACAGCTTCCTACCGCAGAGTTATTACTAGATGGGACTAAAGCACATCTTGTGAGTAGACTATCAAATACAATATGCTTTCATGGTGTAGGAATGCAATATTGTTACCATTTATAGGTCAAGAGTTTGAATTTATGATTTGATTTAACTCCATTGACTAACAAGGTTAAATCATGTTAACATGTGGTTATTTTTTCCCCTTCAAAATATTTCATTTGATGTTTTAGTATGATTTTTGCAAATTACAAACTTGTTCTACACAGATCATTTTAAACTAATTATGTGTTCATTGTAGATTGCTAAGAATTTATCCATTATTGATAACTTCTAGTACATGTCTGATTTGCTTAATTGTAAATATCTCACTGCTGGAAAAAAAAAATTCTGAACTTACAATTTACTGTGAGGTTTTATTCATGCCAGGAAATCTTGAAAAAAAGAAAGAAAAAAAGAGGGAACGCTACAAGAGAACAGTGTACTTTAAGGGGAAAGCAAATTGTAAAGGCTAGACAGAAATCCTCAAGCTGTTTTAGCTTTCAAAGTTTATCAAAGAAAACTTTGCGATTTTAATTGTAGACTAAGAAAACAATTTCTACCAAACCGAAGACCTTGACAAAACTTTGATCTTGAACCATTTTAGGTATCTGAACCAGGGTATGGTGTGGCGTCTATCTCTCCTATGCTCACTATCACTCGCTTCCACAATGCAACTATGGCTGTAGCTGCTATGAGAAGGTGAGGTGAAATAGTTGATGTTTTCTTTCCAGACCATTTTTTTTAGTTGACCATAAATGAGGCCTAAAATAAAAACTTGTTGTATTGCCCTTTGCGACCGACCCAAAAATCTGAAAATCTATGGTCGGCATTTTAAAAAAGTTTTTTTTTTTTTTTAAACCATTTTTTTTTTTGTTATTAATGAATAAAAAAAATATGTATTTTGTTTGTTTAAATGGGATATAAATGCATAAAATCAAATAATTCCAAAATTCTCACTCGTGCAAACCATGGATAATTAAGAGGTGAAAAAGATATCAATGGAATGATGACGCTGAAACACAAAACTGAGACATATCAAACAAAAGAGGGTGGAAAAAAAAAAGAAAAAGAAATTCAAATCTGAAAAAATATCGGCTAAAAGAGGGCGACAAAAAAAGTTTAAACCAAAAAAAATTAAAAATTCCGACCGACCGACCAATGTTTTGGCACCCAAAGGGCAATACAACAAGTTTTTATTTTAGGCCCGAGACCCAGAAGTTTTATGAGTAATTTTTAGAAATGACCATAATACATTCAAACCTGCTTTAGTGACCACCTGTCTACAGAGACCACATTTTTTGTTTCCCTTGAAAATGGTTTCTCATTAAAACATGTACTAAAGGAACCTGTCTACAAAGACCACTTTTTGAATTTTCCTTGGATGGTCACAATAGACAGGTTTGACTGTAGTAGGAATACTCCTCAGGGAATGAAAGTGGTGCACACTGTGTTTGCGAATGACCGGTAATAATATCTGTGAAGCACTTAGAGATGTCATTCCGTATTAAGCTGTGTATGAATCTAGATTTATGATGAGTAATACTGGTCATGCAATTGTATGAAAAAGAAAATGTAGTTTATTGTAGATCATTGATTATGCAATAAATATATACATGTATGTGTGTCTTAAGTATTTAGGATCATTACAATTAAAACAAAATTGACTAGATCTTGCTGGAAATTGCATATGGTTTTGAATAGAGGTATGTGTCTTTGAGAGAACATATACCTACAGCACAACATTTTTGAAGTTTTAAAGTATTGAAACTTTTTTTTCTCATATTTGGAGGAAAAAAATTCCTGTGCTAGGTAACTTGATTAAAATGTATATTAAAACACACAATTACTCCATGTGATTTGTTTGATGTAGGATGGTGCACTATGCGAGGGACTACTCCTTCCAGAGAAGAGCCTTTGGCAAGTTGATTGTAGACTGGCCTCTCCATGTGCAAACACTGAGTAGAATGGAGGTGGGTGCATGAGCTAATCGCATACTTCATAGCTGGAGACGAGAAGCTATTAGTCTGCTCCTCCAAAGCTCTTGATAAAAAAATTGGGACTATAGATAATTATCAAGAATGACAAATTATTTCACTTTGCATTATTTTAACAAATTTACTTAATGTACATGTAATGTGTAGCTGGAGTCCAGTAGGTTTATTAAAAAGAAAAGAAAATTTCTCACTAAAATAGTTATATAACAATGTTTGTCTGCTCCTTGGAGTATGTTTTATTGCCAGAGACAGGGGAACCATTTATGGGATGCTCCATTAATGAATTGAAGTGAGATATAAAAGAGAAAAGCAAAAATATCACTAAACATAGTCTAAAATTCATCTGCTCCAAGTTTGTACATGTAGTTTAAGATGAGGAGCCATGGTTTTGCTGGTATGCTTCCATTCGTTTTGTTAAAAGAAGAGATGTTATCAAAAATAACAATATGATCATATTGAGGGTTCAGTGACTCAAAGACGTAACTCCATATTTTGCCAAAATGAGTATTTGATATCTAAATTTTCAGAAAAATGTGGGCTTTCCAGGAAACACTAAGACTGAACTCCACCCAACACCCCATTGAAGTCAATGGCTAGTGAAACATAGACTTAACTCCTTAAGCCCCAGTGCTCAGTGACACATAAACCACTTTTCCTCAAAATGGCCAAAATGGAGTTACCGGTACGTCTTTGTGTCACTGACACCTCAATTTTAGTATTTTAATATTTGTCTGCTCCTTGTTACATAATCGTTTTGTAGCTGGAGACCAGAGGAGCCATGGCTCTGCTCCTGGAATGTGCACATCTCCTGGGCAAGGATGAGGCTAAGGAAGCCTCGGAGGATGATCTCAACCTCCTTCGTCTTCTCATCCCGGTTCTCAAACTCTACACCGGTAAACAGGTGAGGTTCCCATGTAACTCCATCTCTCTTCTTGGTATCATATGTTCATATTAAGAAATTGTCAAATTTTTCACTTGGTTTTTAATCAATAACTCTTAAAGGAAACCTCCCCCCCCCCCCCCAAAGAATAAATGTTATGCTGAAAGACGAAGTTTATTCCTGCCCATTGATAAATGAAGATATTATTGGTGTTATGTAATGCCTTTTAGCATGACATGGGCGTAGCCATTTTCTTGATAATGTTGCTTATTGGGTGAACTTGTAAATGTAACTTGTAGCTGAGAAGTTAAAAATGATATTTAATGAAAAATATATGACAGGAACAATAATTGTAACTCCTTTGTCGCCTTAGAAATCTCATGTATAATTATTATTATTATGAGTGTTGATGTTCGACTTTGATAGTAGCCCGACATTTGTAGATATAATGTGAGCCAATATGTGTTTCTTTTCTAATTCACTATTAATGAGGGGTGATTTTTAAAATTTTATTATTGCTAGTGATGCCACTAATTTCAGTTACCCTATTTTAACTGGGCTATTTCAGACCGGGTTTTTACTGGGAGGGGGGGGGGGTAGATTTTACCCCCCCCCCCCCCCAAGATCTCTGCCGTTTCACTGCCGATCGCTCCAAACATGTCAAGTGAAGTGTATTGAATACTATGGTAATTTCAATTTTTTGAAAAATTCACTCATTTGCATATTTTGGTAATTTATGCAAAAAAGGTCATACAATTCACATTTTTGCCGATAAATCATACATTATTCATATTTAAGCATTCTTTTTCACTACATATATTTATTAAACATTTGGAATGATAATACAACACAAAAAATTTAAAGAGCCAGGTTATTCCTTATGTTATCTCTTGTTATTTCTTATGTATTTCATTGTTTTTTTAACTTATGTATTTTATTGTTTTTGTAGTTTTATTTCATTTATAACTACAATTCAACTATTTTACCCCAAAACAAACAATTAAACTTAAAACAAGACTAAATAACCCATGTTTTATCTCTTTTTAGGAAAAATGACATTTCCTTATGTTTTGTACACAAATTACAAAAATGAGCGATTTTCGGGCTGACATGCAAAGACAAAAGATCACGTGACTTTGCAACTGTACGTCCGATTTTCAAAAAAATCGTTTTAAAAGATGCGTAAGACTCGAAAGAAAAAAGTCATGAAAGGAAGATTTTATATCTGCCATGGTTTCGGAGTAGTCACGAAATTTATACAGGCGGGGGATCAAATTGACCCCCCCCCCCCCTAGTTAACATAGGGTTAATGCACTTCTTACTTAATTGTTCTATCTGTTTAATGCCCGGCCCCCCCACTCAGGTTTCGAAATGACCGCATGCATGTTGCCAAAATGTCCGGTAAAGGGGTACTTTTCGTGCGACAAAGTCCGGCCCGAGAATTGTAAAAAAAGGGGTGTATTTGACTTTTCACCCGGAGATTTCTTTAAAAAGGGGGTGTTTTTCTTTTTTTCTCTCATCTCTTTGGACTCCTGAGAAATTATTCCGAATTTAGGGTGGTACATTGAGCATTTTTCCTGATTTAGGGGGGTCTCCAAGGCAGGAAAAGCCCGCGAAAAGCCAGCGAAAGGGGGGTTCGGAAATGTTGGCAGTCCTCAGATAGGGGGTGCTTTCAAAAAGAGGGAACGAGCATATGCGTACCCTAAATAACACTGAGTGGGGGGGCCGGGGTTTAATGTATCTGATGTCTTCAATCACCAGAAAATGTTGAGAGAGAGGGAGAGAGAAAGAGTATTTCAATGTAATAGGATCTGGTCCACATTGACAGAAACTGTTCCAAGTCTAATATTACAAACATCTTATTAAAGCTTTGAAAAACCCACATTTCAGTTAGATTTCTGCAAATAATCCCCTTTCGTGATTGTGCTCTTACAATTAGTCCCTGATAATAGACAATAGCACTTCTGTCTTTTTCTTTTCTCTTCAGGCCGTAAGTGTTGCGTCTGAGGGACTAGAGAGTATTGGTGGACAGGGTTATATTGAAGATACTGGTTTCCCAGGGATACTCCGGGATGCCCAGGTAAGTATTGTCACACCTGCTTTAGTGACTACCGGTCCCTTTATATGAAGACCACAGTTCAAATATGTGCCCTGTCAATATTGGATGAATATGAGAATGAGGTGCTTTGCTATTTGAACTCTCCATATTTTTTAGAGCACCTAAAAATGCTATGGGGTCTAAAGTTCATTTGTCGATTCAGAAACTGATCTGAACAAATTAATATTGTACTATATCAATTTTTCTTGTTTCCTCATTACTTAGATTTCCCCGACTCTTCTGTATTTCATATGTCAAAACAAAAATATCCAATACAAACTGACGTGGGTGGATAAAAGCATAGACGAGAAACGCAACACAAGCTTTCTTCAAAATTTTCATGGCTTGATGCATACCTGCCAACCCTTCCAAATAATCTGGAATATTTCGATTTTCTGGCTTTCTGGGACCTAAAAATTCAGAATATTCTGATTTTTCAAAATTCTAATTTTTGTTGTTGTTGCTTTTTGTTGATTGCTTTAGCAAAATCAAGCTTGTTTTATCATGTGCCGCAATTTGAGAGTTCACGTATTGCATGCGTTGAATGGCTGCATGATTGAGCAGCAAATTTGTATTCGCTCTTTTGTACAGATTTACCATGTATTACCAGTACACTGCTGCTGCATGTGCGAACGCCTGTTAAGGGTACAGATTTCTTATTTTCAAAGGCATACTGTGCAAGAAATTCGTAATTCTTATTTTCAAATGTTAGCAGTTATGTTAATGTGCAAAATTCAATCTGTTGCAGGTCTTGAGCATTTGGGAAGGCACCACCAACATCCTCTCCTTGGACATCCTTCGCTCCATCATCAAGAGCAAAGGCCAGACCATGGAGACGTTCCTCAGACAGGTCCAGACACGCTCTGCTACCTTCCTCACCGCCTCCAACCAGGACATCCAAGGGACGGCCAAGCTCATTGGACAGTCCTGTGATAGCCTGAAGAGCTTCCTGGTGGAATCAGCCAATCAGGATGCAGGTTTCATGGAGCTGGCTGCCAGGGATCTTGCGTACAGTATCGGTAGGACCTACATTGGGTTGGTACTGTTGGAGCATGCCACATGGGAGAGGGCCGGTGAGGAGGACATTGCAGTAGCGAAAAGGTGAGATCAACAAAAATGAATACATAATACATATACATAAAGAAGAGGATTGATAATAGATGTGTCGTGGTCTAGTGGATATGTCCCCAGACTATCGAGTCTCGAGACTCACCGTGGGGCTAATCTCCTTTGGCCACTCTACACCCAGGTGTAATAAATGCGTACCTGGTAGGAATTTATTCCACAGCGCTTTAAGACAGCTGGGCTAAAGCTTTTGTAATAATAGTGCTACTTTGTGCTTAATATAAATTTAGCTATTATTATTATTAATCGTGAGTGCCGTTTTTTAGGCTTGTGCCACTCTCCATTCAGGCTTCTTATTAAGTTCTAGGGTCTTCTGTAAGGCTCTCTTTTCTAGCTGAATGAGTAAAACCAACTGGTCTCTGTGATAGATGATGGTTAATTTGAGACTGGTATTCTAGAAATATACTCACAGATCCCCTATCCCCAATCCTTGACTCGATTTAAATATTCATACTCCACAGAAACTTTGGTCCAAGATTGCTTGCTATCACTTATTCTACTTATTGTATTGGTCTATTTTATTTACCAATGTTGAAATATGGTAACAATTTAGTACATAGAACTGAAATTATTGCAAATTTCATTGCTTGTATTTGCCTTTTTTTCTGTGTAGATGGTGCCAGATGGATCTGTGCCCTGTTTCTAGCCAGAATGCCGCAGGTACCTACTCCATTGAAGCAAGCTCTATGGACTACAGAACGGTCATGGCAGGTTACAAACAGGAAGAATAAGCAGGGATAAATATAGAGGAAGAGCAGGAGAGAGAGAGAGAGAGAGAGAGAGATAGGTAGAAGGGAAGGGAGAGTGAAAGGGAATAGATTTTCAAGTGCAAAATGAGAGCACTTCAAGAGAGAGGAAGAGAAAGTGAGAGAAGGGGAATAAGTATAGCGTTGTACATTATGAGAGCCAGATGCTGTTAGTATAGATATATATTTTCAAACTTTGGTTAATATTATTGTTCGAGACTAATTCAAATAGCAACTGAAAATATTTATAATCTGATCCTGACTGCAGTGTTTGCAATGCAAAAAGCCAAATGCAGCTTGTATAGATATATATTTTTAAACTTTGGTTAATATTGTTTGAGACTAATTGAAATAGCAACTGAAAATATTTTTAATTTGATCCTGACTGCAGTGTTTGCAATGCAAAAAGTCAAATGCAGCTTGTATAGATATATATTTTTAAACTTTGGTTAATATTATTGTTCGAGACTAATTCAAATAGCAACTGAAAATATTTATAATCTGATCCTGACTGCAGTGTTTGCAATGCAAAAAGCCAAATGCAGCTTGTATAGATATATATTTTTAAACTTTGGTTAATATTGTTTGAGACTAATTGAAATAGCAACTGAAAATATTTTTAATTTGATCCTGACTGCAGTGTTTGCAATGCAAAAAGTCAAATGCAGCTTGTATAGATATATATTTTTAAACTTTGGTTAATATTGTTTGAGACTAATTGAAATAGCAACTGAAAATATTTTTAATTTGATCCTGACTGCAGTGTTTGCAAAACCAAATGCAGCTTGTATAGATATATATTTTAAACTTTGGTTAATATTATTGTTCGAGACTAATTGAAATAGCAACTGAAAATATTTATAATCTAACTGCAGTACCGGTATTTGAAATGCAACAACCTGTCAAAGCTGTGATATTTCATCAACATGAACATGAGAAAGAGGCATCTAAATGTTTTAATTTCAATATATCTAGTACATTAATTCACTTAGTACTGGCAGAAATTTTGTTATTTCACTTGTATTCGATGTAACTGTTTGCTTTAGACAACTCTAAAAGGGTAACTTTACTGGATATTAAAACTGAATCACAGACACAGCCACTTTTGAATGGGTGTACACACATAGCTTCATCTGTGTTTAGACAATGACAAAGCTGTTCCATGTCTTTGACGCATCGGTCTCTATCCAGTGTTTCCAGCCCTTAAATAACTTGCCTTTACTAAATACCAAACACATGTGTAGGAATATTTGTTGGTGGTAAAACAAGTGAATATTCTTACCGTTACTTTAGTATTCTAAGCTGATATTAATGTTGGAGGACGAAACGGAACGGAAACATGCTGTTTTGTTATAGCTGCTAACTGTAGGACTTGCTTGGTTTCATTGTAATTTGCATGCAGACCATGGAAACTTTGCCCTCTTTGACTAAGAAACGCTGCACGAGTTTCGTTTGGAGAGGAGCTTGTGTTGGCATCACTCGGGAAGGGGCTTGTGTCTGCACCACTCAGGGAGGGGGCTTGAGTCGGCATATCTTGGCCTTTGAGCAATTTTTCCTTGATGAGCAAAGTAGGTTCTTTTTCTCTCTGTGTTAAATGTGTTACTACAAGAACTTTAGGATGTAATGGTGAAAATTGAGATCTAAGTTCCAAATTCTAGTAATAATGATATTGATGTCTGATTTCCTCTTCCATGTACAATAGCACCCGTAATGTGGGATTGCAATTTCCAGGCTGCACTTGTGGATTTGGACTGACAGTAGAAACATGGAATGCTGGTGGCCTTCTGGTCCATACCACCAACTGTTATGGTCATGTACTTGCTGGGCTCCCTTCTCGCCTTGTGAATATGTCCATAATGTTTGTGCCGCTGGGTTCTGAAAGAAAATTGGAGAGGAGGGAACACCACAATGATAAAGCGCTTCTTCTGCACAGTATAAATTTAAGAGAAATCAAGAATATTGTAACAGCTTTTCACACAATGCTGATCTCTACTGCTGATCTAAGCTGTCAATATCAATCACCCCCAGAACTTTACAATACATTTTCACTCCCAATTTATGGGCATTTACATGAAGATGTTTTTCTTTAGTGTTGTGCAGATATCACATTTTGAAAATCGATTGACCTGTTCTGAAAAAAAGAATACCTAATGCAATTGATAATTTAAGAGAACAGTCAATACAGTAGGTACCACTTATGGTAACCATAAATAAATGATTGCACTTATTCAATCAATGATGAAAAATGGAAACAAAGTGTTCGGTATTGCAGGATTAGGAAAAGTCATCTCATGCAAAGTTACATTTAAGTAACAACTGGCCAAACAGTACAGGAGAATGTTTAAAAATGATTAATGACAACTGTGTTTTTGGAACAGGACAGCAAATTAAACCTCTTGATTTGATGTTCCTATGGAATGTTAACATGAGCCATTTCTTTCCTCCACATACAAAAGAAGTGCATCCGGCTCCAGACCTCCCCAGACATGATGGCAGGTGTATTTTGTCACAAGTAGGTTTTTTCTCCAAACTGATTGGCAAAGTCGCGAAGCCAAGCTAATGAAGGGGCTTGAGTCAGTATCACTCGGGAAGGGGCTTGAGTCGGCATCACTCGGAGAGGAGCTAACTGTAGGACTTGCGCGGTTTCATTGTAATTTGCATGCAGATTGACATTGCAGACCATGGAAACTTTGCCCTCTTTGACTAAGAAACGCTGGAGGAGTTTCGTTCAGAGAGGAGCTTGTGTCGGCATCACTTGAGAAGGGGCTTGTGTCGGTATCACTCGGGAAGGGGCTTGTGTCGGCATCACTCAGAGAGGAGCTTTTGTCGGTATCACTCGGAGAGGAGCTTGTGTCGGCATCACTCGGGAAGGGGCTTGTGTCGGTATCACTCGGAGAGGAGCTTGTGTCGGTATCACTCGGGAAGGGGCTTGTGTCGGTATCACTCGGGAAGGGGCTTGTGTCGGTAACACTCGGAGAGGAGCTTGTGTCGGTATCACTCGGGAAGGGGCTTGCGTCGGTATCACTCGGGAAGGGGCTTGTGTCAGTATCACTTGGAGAGGAGCTTGTGTCGGTATCACTCGGGAAGGGGCTTGAGTCGGTATCACTCGGAGAGGAGCTTGTGTCCGTATCACTTGGAGAGGAGCTTGTGTCGGTATCACTCGGGAAGGGGCTTGCGTCGGTATCACTCGGGAAGGGGCTTGTGTCAGTATCATTCGGGAAGGGGCTTGTGTCTGTATCACTCGGAGAGGAGCTAACTGTAGGACTTGCTTGGTTTCATTGTTATTTGCATGCAGACCATGGACACTTTGCCCTCTTTGACTAAGAAACGCTGGAGGAGTTTTGTAAGTTTACTTCCCCGGAATAATATTTGTGCTGCTCTGTTCTGATTGAAAATTGGAGAGGATGGAACATTACAGTACAATAATAAGCGCTTCTTGTGTACAGTACAAATCTAAGTGAAATCAAGAATATTCTAGTTGCACTTCACACAATGCTGATCTCTACTACTGATCTAAACTGTCAACATCAATCACCCCACGAACTTTACAATACATTTTCATGCCCATATATTATAGCTTATATGAATGATGGCGAAGTTAAACCCTGTTTTACTTAAAAGGGGTGAAATGCAGAAGGAAACGCGAGACACTGACTGAACATAAACTAACCTTATATGATATGTACTAGATGCTCAGCTAGGTAGTTGTAGTTATAACGGCTCAGCTATATTCTAGATGAAGCTCAGCTAGAAGCTAGACGCTCAGCTTAGTTGTATAGTAAAAACTCTCAAGTCGGAGGGTGAGTAGGGCTCCGGCACTTTAGGCTTTGAGTGGTTGGTTCCTTCTCTTCAGCTGTCAAGTTCTCGACTGAACCAGTGCTTTGAATATCGGATCATTGCCGCGAGTCGCGCGCCCGTAAGGGACGATAAACGGATACGTAAGAGCATCCAAGATGCATACATATGTGTATGTATATAAAATACCTGCGCTCCGGTGAAATAACCTGCACCTGGTCACACATATGTACCTACGCGTTCACGAATACACAATGAGAGAATTGGCATAACAAATGCCATTTTACAACAATATATACAATAGTCACATTTACAAATACATGATAAACATAACATCCAAACAAGAAACATAATGAGAGTGAAGGGATAAACTAAAAAGGAGTATATTTCTTATGCAAGAGTCCATCCCTCATAAATCATCTTAATGATATTCAAATTAAATGTCGTAGTATTGAAAGCATGAAAATAAAAACAAGAGGAGGGTAAAGGGCATGTTGGGCTTGCCACATCCTTTTCATACCAAGAGCCAACCCTCCAACCTCTTTGACAAAGGGGTGTTGCACTAATGATGAACATGTAGCTTACTATACTGCCACTTGTTTCATGGTGCTCATAAAGGTGTTGGAGTATCCACTGTCTCTGCTCCAATTTCGATTTTTAACAAGAATGCGGCTCGGGATTTGAACACTTCACTTCTTGAGACTTTACTTTGCTTAGTCTCGACTATTACTTTAGCAAGAAAATAGCCCCCCCCCCCCCCCCCCCCCCCCCCGGTATTGGGACATATCTATTCTCCAGAAATTTGAGTACTTGATCGCCATCTTTTTGCACAAGGTCTGTAGTGCCTTCCCATATATTGGCCAGTGATTAGTGACGTATTCTACTCTCTAGCATTATGGTGTACAATTTCTACTCGTTCTATTTATTTGTAAATTTAGACTCTCCTATGTGACTTTCAAGAACTTTTTTTTTTTTTAGTTGTCTCGGATTATGATTTTATGCTAGATTAAATTATTTTTAATAAAATTTTGTAGGGTTGATCCTACCTTACTGATGGGTACAAACAAGAAAAAATTAAACTGAATATATAACTATTGTATAATTAATTTATGAAAAACACATTCTGTACACATTAAACATTTACATCACATTTCAAAATTTACATTATACTTCTAATTTTTTAGATTAACAATAACAAATATTCCAACTAAAAACCTCCATTTCAAGTCTACCGTACTTTGATATACATGTACAATGTATGTGAATAGTCTAGATCGAGGAGAAGGATGAAAGTAACTTGAGCAGTGGGTCCAAGCCAGACATTACCAGGGGCAGAAGCCTCTTGTTCCTTGGACTGAAACAAGGTTCCCCCTTTAGTTTGTATGGATGCGAGATAGCGTTGCATCTCCGAAAGAGCCCATCTACGTTTTCTAAAGTTCTCTAGCTTTGTTATACCGGTAGGTCGTGTCGGGATGGAATTCAGTGACCTGACCTGCGTGCCTCTTCAACATGTTGCCCTCCTTGAATTCCATGAGGAACGTTCTGGTCACATCTTGCTTGTATTGAGAAAAGCAGGTTTCTCTTCCAACCTTTGTTGTGTTTACACACGACTTGTGAAACCAGCGGCCTTCTCACACGCCAAATTGGTACACTTGATCATTTCTTCCGGTTTGTCCTAGCTTATACCAGATGGCTTTCCTGTCCATCTCACACAGGATTTGTGGAATTTTTGGCCATTAGGACAATATGCATTTGAGCATGTCAGTGAAAGGAACTCGCTGGTTTTGTCCTGCATAGGCAGAAGGTCAACTGACCTGACCTTGAGCACTCTAAGCTCCAGTCCCCCCTCCCCCCTCTTCCTTTGTAGTGTCCACACCAGCACCCCTCTCACAGGAATCGAGTGAATATGAAGGTTTTTTTTGCCTTGGTTTCTCTCTTTTGGGGGTACAAATTCTTTGTCTTTATACAACAACAACTTGCATTTCCACACAAGTCATTCCACATCCCTTGAAAACACACGATACATTTATCAAAGAATACAATTTAATCTTCACACATAATGTAACTAATGAACATGTTAAATTTGCCACAACACTGAAAATACTGCTCAAAACAAACATGAACGTACCATCGTGATATGGTGGGATCAAAGAAATTATTAGACAAAAAATAATTGCATCAATTGTATTATTGCAGACAAGTGAACATATAAAAAGCTATCAAAACAAAAGGAACAACACTGAAAATATGATATACTATCATTGTCAAGCAAGGTTTCATTCAGATTAACAAAGAAATAACTTATTATTTTGTAAGATAGTTGCTCCATCCTGTGGCCTGTTACAGGGCTCAGCACAAGGAATGAGAGAAAGAAGTCACTTTGGTTGAAGCTCTTTGGTTTATTACTCGCAAGATGATCTTGATAGTATAATAGGTCCTACTTGTGTATTCCATAATCATGTCTTGTAGCCTTCTGCGTGATATATTAATTTCAAGTTTGCAGCCGCACAAGTATAAAGGCAGGCCCCGGTGTAATGGCCGGTGGACACCGCCACTCTGCCACACACTGCTCCAGAAATATATCATTAACACAGTCAATGAATAAAATTAAAGTCCATGACTAATTAAATATGTGTCAAAGGAGAGTTCTTTATTCATCAAAATTTATGATCAAAACATGTCAAAGAAAATATATTGCTGAGCTGGGCGACTGTATTCAAACTCTCAAGCTCTTCAAACTAACGGAGCATGATGAATACAGGAGCTGGCAACAACGGAACATGGAGAACAGAAAATGTGCCTCTAAGACTGTGCAAGATAGAGATGTTTTGATTTTCATTTTTAATTAGAGCCAGGAAACATTCAAAGAATTACATCTATTTATAATTGATATGAATGCAACGCCTTGACATCGCAATCCTTGTTCTGTAATCTGTAGTGTTTCAGTTTTGAATCCAGTCAAACAAAATGACCTTGTACCACTTGGTTTTCTTCCTTACATAGACAGAGGGAGATCAATAGAGAGATCCCATAGGCAAATTCAAATACAAATACAATGATTGTTTTACAGATTATTGATGTTAACCCTTACTGTACATTTTCAGAGATTGCGCCGCAACCGCTTGGTATTTTGAATTGTTGTTTCATGACTATTTTCCCTCAAGTCTTACGCACATTTTGATACCATTTTCGTCGAAATCGGATATACCTATAAGGCGTTACATAACAATTAGTATGCGCATGTCGTCAAAAAAAAAAAAAAAATGAAAATCGCATCAAAATTTGCATAAATTATCTTTATTAATTACATTAAAATAACTTTTTTGTGTTAAAAAAGAAGTTTCATATGAATAATGAGTTTCAACATTCAAAAAGTGGAGTTTGACACGTTTTCAGTAAAATGCATAAAATTAGCGCATATTGCATAATTAATTAGGCTAACGACAAAAATTTGCATATTCGGAAAAAACTAATTATACCATCTTGTTCCTTACGTAAATATCTACAATCATGCAAATTTTCGTGTTCATCGGACAATCGACGGCCGAGATCATAGGGGGGCCTCCCAGGCCCCCCCCCCCCCCCCCCCAGTCAGTGGGTGCTCAAAATAGCCCAGTACAGTAAGGGTTAAAGGTAAAGACCAGTTATGGTCATGCGATTGCATTGTGAAAGAAACGTTGTGGAATCGATCAGAAAAGGTTGATCATCTAGCATCTAGCATCTGCAAGGTTCTGGAATCATCAAAATGATAAGAAATTTGGCCCATTCTTCGTAAAGTTACAAGCACTATACACAGAAAGATGTATATGGGACTACCCTATATCTCTCACAGACCATGAGAGAAACAAATTTACCAAATATATGAATTAGTTGGCCTTTTCCCGGCAAATTTTTTATCATCATGTATTAGTCAAAACATATTCTTTCACATGATTGGTAATGAGAGCTTCCATTTCATTTTTTGAAATTGGGGCATTTCCAATACTGGTCTTTACCTTTAAGCTCATCGGCCTGTAATTCCCTGGTATGTTAAGTGAGATAAGATCCTGACATAAGACGTGTAGGCTACATGTATGTCAATGTTTGTTAGGTGATTATCTATCCCATTAGCTTCCTCCCACAACTTTTCTTTTTTTCACTTTTATTTTTGTTAATGTTGGTTATAGATTAATGTCTCAAAAATTTGATGCCTCTTCCTCAATCTTGGCCCTTTTTTTTTTAACTGTAACAGTGATTACGACATGTTGTAGAAACTCTTGTTTTAATAGAATTGTGTAACCTGGTCAGAAAAAAAATATATGGAGAAATTGGAGATACTTTCCATGACTTCATAAATCTATTGTTCATGTAAACGGATTTTTTTTTTTGCATGTACATGTTTACTTAAAAATCCCATTTAAGTTTGTCACTACAGTTCAGCGTTCTGTTTTCATACCGTTTAATCTTTATGAAAAAGAGGATCAGAGCTATCTTTTTTTGCAAAGGCTGCTTCTGAGCTATTTCATTCACCTGTTCTTTGCTCATTTTAATGATTGGTATGTATAGTAAAATAATTGGTTGTCTTATACGTGTATGTACAAAGCCATTAGCCGTTTAAAAACTACAAAATTTTCATTTTGTTTTATTATTATAGACATATAATGTCCTTCTTGTAATTTAAAATGGACTTGTTTGTTGTAGAAAAAGTTGTTTTTGAGGACTTGAAATAGCCTATTGATAGTTATAATTTATTTTGTGAATGTTGAATGTTATAGGAGATGTTAAATGACTGTAAAATGCTACCTCAAACTTAATCATCTGTGCTTCAGAGTTATTGGCCCGAATTCACAAAGGAGGTTTGTTGACAAACCTTGTTTTTTCGTGCGTCATAAGCGTCATATGACGCGTTTTCACAAACTAGGTTTGTAAAAAACACGTCAAAACGCGTCATATGACGTACATAAACCTTGGTTTGTCGACAAACCTCCTTTGTGAATTCGGACATTGTTTATTTTGAGTTGGGGGTCGATCTTGAGGCAAACCCTTTTTTCTTCAGGATAATGTGCTTAAACTTTGTATTTTCCCCAATGGTCCTTTACTTCATGTCTCAAGAGGATGAAAATGAAATCAAGCATTTTGTGCATGCATTGTATATATATATAAAAATGAAAAGATATCGAAGTTACATGTCTACTACACTGACTGATGATAATATTTGTAATGTGTATACAGATGTATTGCATATATCATATATTTTATACACAAATAAATGAATACAAAGTAAAAGATCTTGTGAATTTTCAGATTGTATTTGTTGGATTTACTTTTGAGTTCAGTGCCTCTGATGGTATTTTTGTTTAATTGATTAATCTAATCAAATTGTCAACATACCACTTTACAGGATGTGTTCACAATTAAACATGATCTTATGAATGGAGAGTTTGAAGGGGCCCAGTTATCACCAGAATTTCTGGTAGGAAACATTCCTAGATTTGAACTTATTGAAACACCTGCACCTGTATTCAATTAAACACTTGAACTATGTCAAGTTTATCAATTTAATAGCATTTTGCTGTCATCAAAGTATTTTACTGTTAATTCACAAATTAAACATATATATAAAGACTGTTTGATGGAAAAGGTGTCCATTATGTATAGGTTCCTTTGAACATGTTCTAAATTAGGAACCATTTCCAAGGGAAATGAAAAATGTGGTCTTCATAGACAGATGGACATTAACTTGGACTTCCCTGAACAGCCTATAATTCACGTTTAATCCTGTATCATTAAAATGTCTCTGGATAACAGTTGAAATAAAGAAGCGGAGGGGGAAAAAGTAGGTGGAAATGCAATCGATTTATTCAATATACAATAGATTAAATATTGTACAAATATATACTTTTAAACCTTTAATATAATTCACCCCATTACATGAGCTTTGTACAATAAAGTTCATTCTAGAATTAGTAAATGTACACGGTTTATATACAAATTTACATACATAAGTATACAACATTTTGTAAAGAAAAATGTATAGCCTGAAAGAAAGTTTAATTTACATTCACTGACAAAGAAATGTTTAAGGATAGCTGCCTGATCACAAATCATGATCACAAATAAACATCCTAAATAAACATCCTTAAAATATCAAAGTTTGATTCATATAGCTTATATAGATAGTATATTACAATAGATACCGTCTGTTCAAGGCCAGAAGGGCATTACATGTAACTCTGTGTTTAAATATATAAGTTAATAATAATGCCCTTTCTGGCTCCAAACCGACGATACATTTTATGGAAGGACGGTATAGTATGGACGGCTCTATTGAATTGGTTATAATAAGTAATTCTCATACAGAGCATATTATTTCTATACAATATATACAGATTTGATACAAAACAAAACTTTTTAGTCATAATATATGGATAGGAACCAGGTTAATAATTTATGTATTCTAAAACAAGTAATAAAGAAGGAAAACTTGAATTCTCATTGCACCTGGGCTCTCATACAAGTGCTCTTATGTAGTATTAAATATTTCTACGTTAATAGACCACATACCTTAGATCTCAAACATGTCTGTTCTACAAGATTGCAGTGAAATGCTTCAAAATCTTAAGCTAAGTGACGTAAGCAGTGCAGTATCCATCCCTTACAGAGGAAATGGTAGTTTAAGTAATGAAAACACAGGTACATACATTGAATAATACATCAGCAGAATCATGAAGGAAGCAGAGTTTGAGGGCAGCATCAGGAAATTCACCCAAATACTAGTTTCAAATAAACGTCTCGTACTCACTTTGCTGGCTATACAGAGCTCGTAAATAATATTACAGAAAACATGACCATGTCAATCTACAAACAATATTTCTTCTCCATTCCTATATACATTTGATTTAAAAAGTAAACACTTGGTAGGTATTCAAATGTTTTAATGGTGGTTCAGAAATAAGAGCACCTAAGAAATATAATTGAAGTGACTGGAAGAACAGAAATAAAATAAAATGCACAATAAACAAAACGGCAGTGGTGGTGTCGTGAAAAGGAATAAATACAGCTACAGTTTCGATGGATAAAGATAAGTACCGGTAGCTGGAAGCTATAATTTCAGAAACATTCCAGAACTAGAAAGAATTCCCGTTCACATAAGTTTGTTTCTCTTATTCTTCTTCTCTTTCTTCTTTCTGATTGTATGGGATATTCACACTTGTTATATACTCACTTCATGAGAAAGGTATATATATACGCTCATCAACTTCCAAATAAATGTAATTATGCAAGTCTGTACTAGATCATGCATAAATAATACAAAAAGTACAGAATTAGTACAATAGAGCATAAAAGGATTTCAGTAGTGATGTCTTTATAATATACTTTCAACAAAAAAATGAAAATACTAAAGTATTTACAGGATACCCTGTTCCATTCTATATTGACTGAACTGATCTCTTTATTAAAAAAAGATTAAGCAGGACTGTAACCAAATTCATATTTAAGTTAGTCCTGCAAATATGTAGTGAAAAATATTTTGATATCATATGCAAAGGACTTCCTGTTTTTGAAGGTCTAGAAACCTACTTGAGTTTTTTCACTGACTGCTTTTGTTCTACAGCCGACCCAAACCAAGTTTCTGAAAATTTTACCCCTCCATGTACCTGTAGTTGTTAATTTTCATTATTGCCAATTTTCTCCAACATTTCTTGTAACTAGAAAACTTTTTTGTCATAATTTCCAATTTAAAAAAAAAAGTTTTCCCTTTGAATGGGTATATAAGGCTACCTCACTGCTTGAAATGTAAAAATCATGGATTTGATCAAAATGTTCTCAATAAAGACTTATAATTTTTCAAAATATTCTTTTTCTCTCTCTGAGTAACAAAAGCTGCCAAACTCCCGCAATCACTAATATGGCCATAAGACAGATCCAATCCATTCTATACTATTGTCAAGTTTCATTACATATTTCCTCATAATAGTTGGCTGAGCTTTGCGTATACGTCATAAGCAGACGTAAGATCTACTGCTCGATGGTGCGGACCTCCCCCGAGGCTGCTGTACCAGGGGGTGCAGGCATACCAGGTGGTTTGTTCTTGGTCATCTTGCTGGTGTGCTCCAGGAGGGAGAGACACACAAAGGCCCAGTTGTAGAGATTCTGGGCCGGCAGCGACCCATGCTTTGCTACTGCACCATGGGGCACATCTGTAGGTGTAATCAATGAAATTAAACATGGCTTTAATATGTGTATTGATTTAAAATCAATTGACTGATATTACCAGCACTGAATCAGAGCCATCTATATACAGAGTTTGGCCCAACAAATCAGTAGTCGCCATATTGTGTCCAACTCGAACCGGGTTGGCCAAACTCTGTGTATAGATGGCTCTGCACTGAATGAGATGCTGAGAACTTAAAGAATTATTATAGAAAGCTGCTGATAATGGTTAATATATGAATACAAAACCCAAAACTATTGTAAATTGCTCACAGAGGCCACTTTCGCCGCAAAAGAAATTTGCGAATTGCAAATCTCTATGTTGGTGATCAGCAAAGGAGGATATCAAGTTCAAGTTTTATTTCCTCATCTGATTTTAAAAAAACACAAATACAATTTATATGCAGATATACAATAGCAAACATTAAAAATTGAAATCATAATGTGGTGGGAAAAAACAGAGAACAATGGATATAAAAGACATTTCCTTAATAAATTAAGAGACTCAGTCAAGCACAGCAATCTACAGCAGTATAGTCAAGCAGGGTCTTTAAAATCATCTTGTCACTCATAACCATCATCTAAAGCTCTAACAAGTCATGCCCTAACCCAAATCTAATCCATTGGCTCTGCAAGATACATAGATGACCTAAGTTTGGCAGGAATCCATCAATCAGTTCTAGAGATAACGCGAGAACGGGAGGGACAGACAACCCGAAAACATAATGCCTCTGGCTACTAACAGAGGCATAAATTAATGAATGTGTTTACACTCACCTTTAAGATGCTTAGAAATCATTTCAACGATTCCAGGAATGTGTTGAGCCGTGGGATCAAACTCCTCGATCTTCTTGATCAGCTCAGGACCAACAAACTGCAATTCAAACATGATGGAAAGAAGACTAATTCAAATTTCCATTTTTTAAATCTCACATCTCCTGCCATTTACATACCTATCTCCACCATCTCCATTTCCAATCAAGAATATCTTGATATCTTGCATACAAAAGTGGTGCAAAAATTTCACAGTATAGATTGTTTTTACATACATATACTTTGCAACGACATTGTGTAAAATTCTGACTGTATGCATAAATCATTAAACCAAGCAACCAGTACAAATGAACTTTCAGGTCTCATTGTGAGCTGTAAAGCATTAAAACCAAACTTTTTAAAAGCTTAATGCATTATTTGAGGATAAAACCTTTGAAATAGATACACATATATGTTTTTTATTTTGTAAAGTAAATTTGGAGAACCACAAGGGTGTTAAAGGATAGGAGTTAACTGTCTCTCGGCAGATGGAATGTTGACTTACTTTTACATAAAAAAAGTGAAATTAAATTAGTAGGGTTGTATAAAAAAAAATTATTGTATATAAAAATTGAACATTTTTCTGTTGTCTGCACCTTCGACTACTGTCACAACACATCCCATCCCAGTATAGCTTGGAAAAGCTGCTTCAGGGATTACCTCATCAAGTATCAAGTTGCCTGAGGAGATGTATGCTTACCTGCTTACAAGTATTCCATGCATCCAGCTCACCTTCCTCATACTTGTCTCTATAGAAGAGAGCAAGGACAGAGACCAGAATGCTATGAATGACCTTAGGAGGATCCTTGTAGCTCTTGAGCTCAGCAAAGGCCTGAGCGTTGAGCTTGCTGACCGTGTTACGCAGGTCGGTCAGCATGATACGGTCAAACATGATGTCGATACGCGATTCCTCGCTCCCCTTCTCCGCCTCTGGATTGTGCATAGACAAAAAGAAGGCATGTAAGATTTATTGTTTAATTAATTTGAAGCAAGCAACACATGAAAACTGATCAAGAACTCACAGTAGATAATCTTCTTGTGGTAACATAAAGTTCTCTTGTAGAATAACTTATGACTTCTGTCATAAAGAATACAGCAACAACAATAAAGAATGATAGTTACTTATTTTGGAGCATGCTTATTTTCAAGTCCTTAGCAAATCTCTAAATGATTTCATATGCATGAGCAACACATTGGAAAAATCTGATGAGTCCATATAACACCTGCAAAAGCTCAATGCATTAGAACAATGGTCTGAAAACCAATTGGTCCTAGATTTTGAATGGGTCATTTCGTGTACATGAGGAGTTCCCAGGTCCTCTTCTTGCTTATCTACAGGTACTTCCATCTACCGTAATTAACGTTGTATAAACCGCCCTCGTGTATTAATAACCGCACCCCTCTTTTGTCGCCCCCCCCAAAAAAAAAAAAAATATATATATATATATATATATATATCTATATTTTTTTTGGTGTACCGTGTATAAAACGCACCCCCGACTTTGAATTTTGTTCGGCGGCAAAAAGGTGCGGTTTATACACCGTTAATTACGGTACATGTACTCTCTCAGCAATTCAAAGGGAAAATAAACACCAATCAACACGATAATAAACCAATCGATCAATCAATCAATCAATCAATCGATCAATCAATCTGTAAACGAGGTGTGCTTTAGACCATGTTCCTCTAGTCACTCACCCAGTACAATCTTCCTGTCGCCTCCTGTAGACTCCTGGGACACTTCCTTGTGAGCAGCCTGCAGGAGTTTGAGCATCCTCTGGACCTCCTTGTTCTCATGACCTGGGAGTTGCTTCAGGTCACCAATACTCAGATCAACCAGAGCCAAACAGCGCCCGTCCACGTCTCGCAAAGGGAAGGCAAGATGGCGCTGACCGTAAGCATCGGCCGTCACCGTCTCAGAGTTGTCCACGGTCTTGAACAGGTAATCCCTGGGGGGGAAATAGGACAGAGCTTTGGAGTTAGATTGTTATCTCTTAAAGGCCCACTGTACTACTTATAGCTTACTGTTCCCTCTATATAGAAAATAATGCCTAATCAATGACCATGCATTGATCCCCATGATCCTCTTTTTCTTATGTTAATTGAGAGCTGAGTAGATGAGATGGCCACCTGTCAGTGACCTTCCTGGATGCTCTAATCCCTCCTAGCCATACTAGTACAGACTGGCTTTAATAAAAACTTGTACAGGGGTAGATTTTTAAAAACAAATCTAGCAATGATGTAAGTAATGCTGTCATTAATGATATCATCTAATGAGGGACAGTGAGCATCAACTTCATGTTGACAGTAACTACTTTTCTGACTCAAACTCTGCAGAGAAGACAATATATATCAACTTCTAGCAACTCCGATTTGATGGGAAAATAGCAACACAGAAACAAGTTGATGGAAGGAAGCTTCCCCTCTCAAACAAAAGAAACCTGTGATCTCAATTTTATTGACATCTTAGTGAAACAGGAAGAAAAAACGAGTTTGAAACTAGCTGTTATCAATTAAGTAGCTGTGAATTGTGTTACCTGAAGAGGTTTTCTTTGCGCTCCAAGCGTGAGGGACGTTCATGAACAGTGATAGTTCCTTTCTTATCCGTAGTTATCATCCTACGCAGCACAAAGTCATCAATCTAAAACAAAAATAAAATAAAAATCGATCAAATCCAAATAAAGCAAGGTAATGATCATTATTGACCAATGAGGTACAAATTAATCATTAACTATTCTACTGAAATAATCAGTTTCTGCTCTGGCATTACATTATTAGAAATGATAAAATTAAAGGTGAGTGTGATGGGAAGAGAGAAACAGAATTAGGCATGGAATACAAATCTAATAAAAGGAAAAGCTAGAAAGCGAAAAAGGAGAGGGAGAGAGAGGGAGAGAGAGAGAGAAATAAAGAAAGAGAGAGAAAAGAAGAAGGAGAAGTGACAGAGAATATTTCATCATTATCAAAGGATGAGAGAGAGAGAGAGGGGGGTACAAAACAAAGAAGTAGTGAGCAATTATGTGAAGAAAAGGATAATTGAAAATCTTTAAATCAATTTTTATTAGCTATGATAAGCTTTTAAACATCTTTTAAAGTTAGTGAAAACGAAAATGACATAAGTACCATTACAATTATCTGCAGCAAAGAAGAATGTGTTTAAAAAAATAATGAAGTTTATAGTTACACTAACACCTAATATATGGATTACCCCTTACCTTTCTTGATTCAATCTCTACGAAGTGGAAAACAGTTTTCTTTGTCTTACTTAGCATGGGAGGTCTAGGCAATTCATACTCCTTAATTAGTAAAACCATGCAGAATAGGAGAAGAACAAACAGAACAGACATGCACACAATGAAGAGAGTAGATATTATGACAGAAAATAGACAGTGTTATCAGTGCAAAGGTAGGGAAAGTGGCTATGAGTTAACATGCAGTGAGAGTTCAAAGTGAAAAGTTTTCTGTAAAACTACATGGTAGTTTGGGTGAAAATGAACACAATAAGAGGTACATTGTAATAAGGAAAGTTTACATGTGTATGAGACTGAAGGCATGAACATAGTGACATGTACTACACATAACCTTGTCAGAATCACATTATAAAACTGACACATATATTCAAAGCCATCAACATCTAGTACTGCTGTGATGGCAAGAGTATTAAACAAACGTGCAGGTGCATACATGGTGGTGCACTGAGAGGTCAATATAGTAACACAGTGCACTTCTACATGCACTTCTACTTTTGATTAAAAATAATAGTATTAATTTACATAAAATGTCAAGTAATCTGTAAACAGAGGTGACAAGTCAAGTCAAAGTATGTTTTGATATAAACACATAAATTATTTCAAAAATCCTCCCCCTCCCCAAGAGGCAAGATCCCTTGAAATTTGAATTGCTCTTACTACTAAAAACCCTGCACATAATGATTTATGTGATTTTACTTGATGCCATGCACATTATCAACATCCCCATACCAAGATTTAAATTAATATCTTTGTCTAAGAGACACTAAAAGAAACAGTAAAATAAATCTTTACATGACACAAACAAGGCATGCTAAAAGGATGAAAGTCATATAGCTTACATCATGAATATTAGAATGCAGAATTGAGGCTAGTAAAAACAAAAGTGAATTATTAAATATGAGACATAGAAAGGAAATATTAATACAAAGATTGTATTTGGAAATAAAGAAAATGTTAATACAACCTTCATAGAAAAGATGTTATGAAAACAAGAACGCATGTATAACAAAATTGTGTAATTATATTATTAAACATGTAATAAAATAGACAAGAGCAGTGGTTCTGGATGAATTTTTATTTTAATGAAAAAGTGGCTAGACAAATAATAGGCAATCAATGTGATTGTTTAATATAACATATAAGAAAACTGGTGACTGTAATGTATTAACCTTTTAGGAGGATCAGAACACTAAAGAATGAAAGAAGAAGTGGAATGACCTATGATGGGAGGGGTAATCAGATAAAAGGTACTCATCAAAACTTGACTGAGGAAAAATGAAAGTGGCTGAATGTGTAATCATTCCATAACAAAGCAAGAAAAAAGTTTCAGGCAATCAAAGATCATGTTTCCTAAATTTACAATGACATTTTTATCCCTTTTTTTATTTCCATGTTTTCCGAATACATTTCTGATCAAAAATAAATTCTGGGGGAATTCTATAATTGTCCAAAAGTGTGTTTCCTAGATGAATATTACACCCAGCATTACTAGTACCGGTATATTTTTTTTTTCCTTTTTAGTTTTCAGTTTTATAGACCCTATAAAATGCTAGTACCTTTAAATGATTTATCTACTGAAATGCAAAGTTGAAGCAAAACAGGGTGATAGAAGCAAGGGTAGCATATTTAGAGGGGAATTTAAGACAACTGAAATTTGAGAATTGAAAACCAACAAAGAGATATTGCACATGGCAGGGCGTAAACAAATTGCACTGGTAGGATTAGTTAGGGAGAGAAAAGTCAAATACTTTGGTCATGTTAAAAGGCACCAAAGCCTCAATGTATTGGAGGGAAGTGTGGAAGTAACTAGACCGAGAGGGAGACCCAGAATCAACTGGGAAGAGAATGTCAAGAACGGGAGTGGACTAAAACTGCAAGAGCTAGTGCACCAAAATGGTTAAGATAGAGTGAAATGGAGAGATGTTGCAATCAACCTCCGAACCGCAAGAAGATACTTAGATAGATAGATAGGATGTCATGAAAGTGTCAATACCTTATCATCTGGTTCAACCAGGAAGACATTGATCTCCTGGACATGAGGACTGCGTCTGTGGATCCACGAGACGGCACTCTCTGCGATGCGCAGCGTCTTGCGTCTCACTTCTACGTACTGGTAGGCTGTCGAGAAGGATTTGGCCACACCCTATATTGAGGGGCAAAATGAAACCAGAGTTTTAAATAAGTGTATATTAATTATATATTCAAAACACTTTTCTGGATAGTTTACAAATCACTTGCAATCACCTCTGTGATGATAGCTTTAGTATTTACAAATGATAGTCATGACATTACTAGTCAAACTAATGCTAGTGAAACTATCAATCCATTATCATTAACCAGAAGCATGCTGAAAATTGAGATTTAGATGATAGAATGAGGGATCAAAGTAGAGAGCCTTTGATAATATTTTTCACCTCATAATTTGTCAGCAGCACAATTTCTATGTAAGCTCATGCGAGGTACTTCTTTTTAAAACAGTGGATGTTTAATGAGGTCATCTAGGTCATTTAGTGCCTCATGTGGGTATAAGTCTTCATCTATTTTATGTCACTCTCTTATCAATCTTCTATCAATCTCCTATCAATTTTTTAACTTACCGGTAACATCATCTTCAAGTCGAATGGAGGAATTACCTGGACGAAGCCGATTTCATGAGTGATGAAGATACTCTTATCAATCAAGATTATCATCAACAAACCAACAGCTCTTGGGCAGTATCTTCATCAGACGTTACATATTTCTCTCTCTTGGAATATCCAGGGGTGATAGTGAGCACTAAAAAAAAAGGGTTCCCCCCCCCTCAACCACGTCCCCGTTGAGTAAAAAAAAAAAGAAGAGGATTTGGGGGGGATGGCATTTAACAACATTCCCCCCATAAGAATAAGAAAATTGGGGGGAAATCTGGAAAAATAGAGAAAAAAGGGATAAACTCGGGAAGAAAAAAAATGGGACATTGTTTTTAAAAATCAGGAAACCAAATTAAATTGGGTAATTATCAGAATATTTTGCTTTGTGTGTAAGGAATTGTGTTTTGAAGGATGGACTAGCTTACCTGGAAGAAGCTGATTTCATGGGTGATGAAGATACTCTTATCATGAGGGTCATTCAAGGTATCAATCCCCATCAAACCAAACACACGCTTCCTGAAGTCCTTGAGCGGTATCACCAGGAACGATCCTTGGCGGTCCTACCAAAAATGAAAAACAAAACTTATTTGAGTGTTGAAAAACAAAAAACAATACATAGCTCCGTGAAAGAATCTATGAAAGATCTAGAAAGATCTATGACAAAAATGTTAGAATAGTTTTAGGAAAGTTGGTTTTAAATGCTTCTAAAATTTACCCTCAAATCTATAAACAAAACAGCCTAGTCTTGCCTTGTGATGTGGAATGTGCTAACTGAATGAGAGTACATCCTTTCACATATTATATGCTTAAATGTTATTGAAAATGATTGGAATGGTTTATCAAATTCCATCTGAACAAAATATGAAGTACAAATCTTATCCTTCCCTTAATTTTGTTTGCCTATCATGCCTTGCAAAGTAGGACATTAGTTTGAACATAAAGAATACAAAGAATTATATGTTTCATCAAACATGGATCTTCATGCGCCATTCGTAAATATTTGACTATATTTCTATTAAACAGCAGTTCTATACTTAGGTAAGAGGCAGCATTTATGGAGCTAAATAGTCATTAAACAGACAAAGTCTTTAAAGCAGATTCAGATGAAAATGATTCTAGTGGATGAATATGAAATGGAGAATATGAAAAGATCTAAGAACATTTTTTCTTTCTATCTACAAAATATAATAGAAAAGAGAATTGCTTGAAAGTGAATATAATTCCAAATGAGAGAAAATGGTAAGTAAAACAGAAACATTAAACAGGGAGAAAGAGGGATAAAGAAAAACCATAACAACAAAACACACATGAAAAGACGACACGGCATAAGTCAAGTAAGTCAAACACCATGTTTAACAGGTTACAAAATATGGCATTAAGTGAATTAATTGTATGAGAAATTGGAAATTGAATTGCTTGTGATAGTGTAGTGTAGATGATATGAAAATGAAAATGGAGATAATTGTTACTTAACAGTGAGTGAGTTTTTTGTATGAAATTAAAATTTAGACTGTCAATTAATACACTGATGAAATATTGACAAAAACACATCAGAAATTCCTGATTTAACATAGTTTTGGAGCGCTACAGAGCTTTACAGAGTTGAGGATCTTAAACAAAACCTGCTTCTCACTGGTAGCACTCATATCCTGGAAGTCGAACTCTAATATAGCCCAGAATTTAGCTAAGCTACTATCATGGGGCATAGGGATTCTACCAGGTACCCTTGAACCACACTGAGGTTAGGACATGAAATGCCTTGTCTGAGTATATATAAGCACCATGCAGGCACAGATTCAATTACCAAACTTCCTAGTAGAAAGTCAAATCAATGACTGTGCCATATTATACCGATACTGACCGCTTTGAGGAGCACGGTCAAAACTATTGCCCAAGGTGATCTCAAAACTGTAACGTGCCCCTCGACTTTGTCTCAAGATCACAGAGGAGATAACTGTGACCCCAAAAATAATCTGCAATCAATATTTGTTTTAAATACCCCATCCTGCATGTCAACTCTCAAAAAAGACATTTTTACAATGGCTGTCAAAATGTATTTCTATTTGTAGGGAAAATTACTTGCATAAGAGAATTGTGCAATTACATGCATGTATCCGCTGTTAACTTCATGTGCCACCTATGCGCCCTTGCATTGTACATGGAAGCAGAACTAATGCTATTCTGAATATTTTTCGCTATATACTGACCAGCAGCCAGTAGCGTATTTCAAGACAGCACTTTTGACCAATCAGAGGCCTAGAATCTTCATATGCGGTATATATAACATGTACAGCACCCCATTCGAAAATTAATCATCTAAATGTTAACGTTTATGTTGTGATAGCAGTTAGTGCCTTTAAGCTTCGTATACATGACTGCAGGAACAAGGCCAGTGAAATTTATATCTAAAATGCATGACTCCCCGGAAAAATTATCCCCAGTAGACAATTACTCTCAGTGGACAATTACCCCCCACCCTTTAAAATTTCCCCCTAGGATTTAAAAAAAAATTATTCCCTCCTGTTCATTAAAGAGGAAGTCCACCCTGATAATAAGTTGTTTTTAATAAAAGCAAGGGTGCAATTTTCAGGGGGAGGGGGATAACTGTCAGGGGGTAATATGAGGGTGATTTTCTGGGCTGTAATTCCTCTGGAGATGGTTGTCCTTGGGGGGTAATTTTCTGAGGGGTGACTTTTTTTTTGAGGGGGGGGGGGTTAGTCCTTGGGGGTAGTTTTCCGGGGGCTAATTTTCCAGGGAGAGGGGGGTGATTGTCCAGGGGGTAATTGTCCTAGAACCATGACATCCATACCTTGTATCATGTTACAAAGATAATTAAACACATACACACACAAAAACTGAAAATGTGCTAGTGAATGCAAATGGCAGAATCAATCTTTGTACCCCATTAAACTATATGCTGACAGAAAAGAGAATCTAAGTTTGTTGTAAAAACAGTGGTAGAATTTGTCATAAATTCAAATAAAACGGGCGAAATAAGTTAAATTGACCAATTTTTCTTAAGAAAGCTCAATGTTGGGGAAATTCTTATTTATCAATTTTTTTATTAAATTCAGAATTTTAAAGGTATTACAAAGTTTTGGTATGGGGTCATGAATTTGGTTCAAATTAAAATATTGGAGGAATATGCGTTCCTACAATATTCATTGATCGTTGTCCCGGTTGAAATCGAGTCTAAAGTTATGAAATTATAAATAATACACTCTTTATGTTGTATAGCTCCCTCTCAAGGTCAAGATATTAATTTAGCTATGAAACAATGTTTCTTGACTAAAATCGACCAATTAGCTATTCCCGTTTGGAAATAACATATCACAACTACATATTCTGAGATTTTCATGGTCGCAGCTAGCATTGTACGGCCGTAGGGGCTATTTGAAATTTATCAAAATTTACCGGGAGCACCGTTAAATTTTTATATTCAATTTTTCTCGAAAACAGAAGTGTTTTAGGGGGTAATTTCTTTAGTGCTTATAATACATCCACAGGGGCAACCAAATATATCAAAATTGTAAAGATTCACTATCCACCCAATTTTCAAAATTTCCCAAAACTTTGTATTACCTTTAAGAAACAAAAAACACTAAAACAAATGAGATACTATTTTCACAAAAACATATGGTACACATACATTAATTATTACCTATGATTGAAAATAATATTGTAATCAACATTCTAGCAGCAGCCCTCTATCCCCCCCCCCCCCTATATCAAATTTATCCAAAATCTGCCTGTTTCATCTAAATCTAGACCCTATGGCCCGAATTCACAAAGGAGGTTTAAATTTAACCCATGGTTAAAACCTTCATTTACATAACCCATGGTTTAAAATTAGCGCAAAATAAGCGCAACACATGCAGTGGAGAGGTCCAATATTAGACGCGCGCAAGGCAAGGTATGCTTATTTTTAAACCATGGGTTATGTAAATGAAGGTTTAAACCATGGGATGTAAACCTCCTTTGTGAATTCAGGCCAATCATCAGTGGCAAATGAACTCTAGGCACCGGATCCCAGACTTGAAAATACCGTCCTACATAATCACTATATATGGGTTACGGGCACAAAACAATCATACAACAAAAAAGTTCAAAGGTCGGACTGCACTGCAAACTAAGGGTTATATATTAGCACATTGAACACTTACTCTGGCAGGGTCATAATCATCTATGGATATCTTCTTGTATTTCTGAACGCGTGCAAAAGTGCAAAGTTTACAATAATAAGAAACACAGACTACAAAGCAATGCAGACTATTAATAAAACAAAAACAGATTTGCCTCGCTTACAAAATAAACATTAAAGACGAATTGACCTGTTAAGAACTGGTACTTTTAAGTTGACATTCAAAAGCATACTTGACATTAATACATAAACATGATATTCTCTGATAATTACTTCATACATAATCTTGGTACATATTTGAAATTAACCCCCAACCCCCCCCCCCCCCCCCCCCCACAAAAAAATCAATAGTATCATGACATATGATACACCAGTGCTCGATAACAGGCATCCATTAAAAACAACAAAGACAAAAAACTAGTATCCAAAACAGTTGCGAGGCAAAACTTCTACCACAAGATAAAAGGCTCTAAACTGCAAAATATCACCACAATGTACAATGTATACATAAGCTTAATACAAGTACAAGTACAAGTGACTCTAATACACCGTGACTTATTCAACGGCTCAGTGTATGAGCAACGTGTCATCTAGGTAGAGCATCCAGTTTTCACCATCCCATGAAACCATGCAGGAAAAACCCATTCATTGTGTTACTTTCCTAAAGTATAAAGACCTTCCTAGCGTATACCAAGACTATCACCAAAAGCTAAAGACCAGAAAATTCATAACTGTATCCCAAAATGTCTTTGTGTTAAAGATAACACATTTCTAGTATAGACCAAAGGTGTATTCAACCAAAAGCCAACCAGCAGTAGTTCTTTTTATAGAGTGCCGGATTCCGAAGTGTTTTGTGCTAAAGTTGATACCAGGGAATCACAAAGGTGTGAAAAATAGACAAGACACTTAGATTATTATCTGGACCTTCTGATATGATAGTTTATTAGTCTTTAGATCTATATAAAGTCCTTTAATATATATCATAAGATTGCAATGAGATGTATTAATGTTGTTTTATAGAGTTTAGAGTTGATTCTAAAGTTATGTAGGGTTGTACATATAATTACCTTAAGAAAATAATGGGTTTACATGATAGTGATGATGATGAAATAGGTATTGTAATATTGCATACGTTTATTTTCTTAAATGATTAAGAAAGCAATTGAGCAAAATGACTCCCAAAGTTGACATTATATGTAATTATATGGTATGTAAAAAGAAAAGAAAAAATGGCTGTAAAGAACTAAGGATAGATTAATGTAAAAGACTAAATAAAATTTAAACAGGTTTGAAATACTACAGAAGGAACAGATATGAAACACATACATGCACGTATAACACAGATCATTGTCAACCTCCAACAAATGTGTGTAAAACAATGCAATGAAACCAAGAAATATTAAACACTTAGTACCACTATACCAACCCCCAAAGAAACTATCAATCGCATGCCAAGAAAGAAAGTGAGATAGGGAAGATAGAAACATTGCATTCCAATCAGAAAAGGAGAACTTACTCCTGGTCTCTAATTTTGTGATAAACATAAATGATAACAAATGAAGAAAGTATAAACAGTCATGCATTCAATGAAAGACAAGAAAGTTGATGTCATGCTTTCGGATATAATTAAGAGTTATGCTGTTTTAAGACAAGAGGAAAATCATGACAAATGAGACAAGATTTAGAAAATAAATGGGATGGCAGAAAATGTTTCATTTTCATCCTTCTTGTTACCTCCTCAAGGACAGATGGCCGAAAGTCTTCATCATCCCATTTCTAGAATGATCATTGGATGAATTCAAGAGTAAGTTCATGACTCTAAGCTACGTACCAAATCAACTTTAGAATACATTCTTTACCACTGAGTTTGACGTAAAAATGGATGGATTTTACTATAAATCATGAAAAAAGAATATCAATGATTATGATACAAAAGTCATGGATGTTCATCACTTTATAACAGTGTGAATTAATGGATGAAACATTCAATTTTTGATCTAGGGATAACGAAGATTATGCATGAAAACTGGATACTCCCTCAAGCTTAAAATAGTATCTTTGGCATAGTCATTCCTAGACACTAGCTGGATATTGTAGAAGATACAAAAAAGTAGATAAACTTGAATTTCCTTTAAAGGATTAATGTAGTAATATTTTCAAGACTCTATTTTTTTATTCAAGTGTTTCAAAAGTGACATGAATTCAAAATTGCTTAAAAAACAAGAATTTAAACTAGAAATTACATATAAATTGCATCTTTACTACATACAAGTAAGGAGGAAGCTAAATCCTGAAATTCAAAATTAGCTTGTGGATATTTGTGGAGTAAAAATATGAATGAATCGACAATCAACAAATCTTTTCTTTCTCTCCCTCCTCTCTTCTATTCTTCATATACCTCTCTTTGCAATGACATTAAACATGTCACCAAGAAAGATTGAATAGTATTGCGTTGTACTCGGTATATTGCCATTACCGGTACTATAACTCTGCATCGATCATCAGATACAATGAATAGCTCAATTCGTATTTGACCATATTCCAAAATAATTATTTCCCATATACATCAAAGCACAACAGCAAATCAAGGGTTTGACGAGAAAAGAAAGATTTAATTGACTTACTTCATCAGCACGTTCAGGGTTCCAGAACATGATGCTACCGTGGTTCTGAACTCGAGGGACGTGGATGGGTTTGCCACTGTCTATTGATGAGAAACTGCATAAGGAAGAGATGGAGGAGGGGGAAAAGGGATAGAGGGAGAGATAATGAAATTAGAAACACAAACATGGATTAACCATCAAGAGGCGCACTTCACATTTATCTTGTGATCTCCAATTTGGAGGAAGCATTTGGTAATTGGAGTATGAACCTAAATGTACAAGGACTTATTACAAACTTGGTAACAGTACATGTATGAACATAAAGTATGATTACTTACAAGCACACACATGCTTTATTAGCACACAGGTGAAACAATCATCAAACAAGTTCAGGTCAATTTATTGCATCTTTACAGTTGAACTTGAGTTCTGGTAAATATAGAAAATATATTCTCACAGAATCCAACGAAACTTACACTGAATGTTCAAGATTACAAGTAAATGATATGTGCCAAACATTTTTATTAGAAAGGTATAGTGCCCAAGTAATGAGCATAGAAAGATATAAGGAAATCCAGATAAGTAGGTCCGACACCATGTGCTCTATGTGCAAATCGGAGTTGTGGTTTTTATCAATTTTTTTTTTTTTTTTTTTTTTTTTTTTTTGGGGGGGGGGGGGGGGGGCAGCAAGAGGGAGAAGGAGAAGGCAGCTTTGCAGTGGAATATGTGTCATTGGTTTACCTGATCCCCTTCATATCTCTGTGTAAGATCTTATTGAGCATGAAGCCAGCATCGTCGGGCGTGGCGGCCACGTAACGGAGACAGGTCGGGCCACGAGCTGGACTGACATCGTTCCTCTCAAGCAGACCGATGTTAGCACTGATGCGCTTTCCTCGACCATGCTGATCAGCGTCCTAGTGAGAGAAAAGTCATTGTTGAAAAAAAAAATTACTCAGAGCTTTAATAGTTCAAAATAAGTATGTGTGTATACATATGTATATCTATATAGAGAGACAAAGAGAAAGAGAGACAGACAGACACAGAGAGAGAGAGACATACAGAGAGAGAAAGAAAAAGACTTTAAGCAATTTTTACTCATCTAATCGTTAGTTTGTTTGTTTTTTTGCTTCCTTTATATTTTGCTGATCTTCATATACCACAGAATGTGAAAACTTGTACCCCATGCATAATTCATTATAATCCTTAAAATGAAATTTCACTGTAAACATTCATGATTTAAATTTCTTGAAAAAATAACAATAATTTACAACAATCAGGGATAAACAATACAACAAGAACATTATCATTTTTAAAGAGATGAAAAGTAAATGAATTGAATTGAATACAAAGATTGGCCTTCAATCGTCTTGCTTCAAATGTCATATAAGCTCCACTACTTGATATATAATTCCTTCACCATAAATATAATGCTGTATTTTATACAAACCTTGTAGAGTGAGTTGAAGACACCCTTATAGACAGGTTGCATGCCACCAGCGCTCGTCTCAGCTGCCTGGATGATAGAGGCTAACCACTTCTTCCTTGCTTGACCCCTGATTCTCTCCTCGTATGACCTCTGTCATGAGATAAACACAAAAATGAGGATTAAAGGATTTTTAAAGATACTATTGATGTTTCTCATGCGTTCTACTTGATACACTTTTTCTAATTACTTTTCTTCAATTAATCAACAGAATCAACAAACCTGCAATGCTTTAAATTTTTCAAAAAGGATACTAAATTTATTGTAAAAAGATTTTTTTTGTGATTTAATAATTTTTGGCAGTTATTGCAAGTTTATACTACACAGCTCTACATAGTTTCTAAAATTATCTTTCATTGTAAAGACAAGACATTAATGCTCTGCAGTATATGTTTACGGTATGACCATCTGAGGAATGGGGGGGGGAGAGACAATGAGCAAGAACACTCTGAGAGAGAGAGAGAGAGAGAGAGAGGCAGAGGGGGGGGGGGGAGGAGAAAGAGAAATGGTAATGATGGTGATATCCTGATCTAACCAAACTGATCTTGAACCAACCAATAATCAATAAATCTGTTCCATTTGGGGTCAAGGACCAATCAGGGATCATTAAGGGACTATTCTGGCACAATGCAGAGTGCATTAATTGGTTCTTGTCAAAGTGAAACTTGATCCATTTTCTTGGGTCTACTGTCAGTCTACCATTGATATCTTTGGTTGTGACCATGGTACGAGGTGTGATGGAGAAAATATGGGTTAGATATGGAGAAGACAAGGATGAATTCAACTTACTTCCACACTTGTCATTAGGAAATCAATGAGTGGATCAAAGTTGTCTGGACCACCTGGTAGAAGAGAGCACACTGCTTCCACGTAAGCTTTGAATTCCTGCTTGCTTAAACGGTTGTCCAGCTCCTCCTTCTCCAGCTTCTGCTTGGCTGTAAAACAAGGGAAAACATTTGTGTTCAATCACCATGGTAACAGCCATATATGTAAATCATACACACTTGTTTGTTATTTAATAAAAGAGCGGAGTTTGTACTCTGCACAGATATCATTCAATGACTGAAATGGATGTAGAAGACGCGGTGTGGAGATTGCAGTGGTCTTGTAGGTTACAGGTCTTAGGTTTGAAACCAATTGAATAGGCTAGTGCCCTCTGGTATTATCATCCCCAATTTGTTTGCTTGCTGAGTAGTCAAGTAGAACAAATCATCAATTAAAGCTCACTATAAGGCCTGTCCTCATCAGCTCGAGATTGCCAAATGACCCGCTATTTCAAATTTGGGAAATAATCCCGAAGTTACAAATCGCGTCTTCATCAGCTCGAGACTTAACCTTGAAACTTGAAACTCTAGCTCGAGAAATTAGCCCGAGATATTTTGCTCAGTGTTCGCGCATAGTGCTAGTCTTTGGGCTGGTGAAGACGCACCAGACAAATAGCAGGATATTTTGCAAACTAGCCTAAGATATCTTAGGATGATCATCTCGACCAAATATCCCGCTAATTGCAACTTCGGGCTGATGCAGACGCAAATTAACTGGATAATTTGCGATCGGGATAGTTCAAATGGCGGGATATTTGGCAATCTCGAGCTGATGAGGACAGGCCTTATAAGATCCTGCACTGGACCTACCTTTGGCCATGATTCTAGACTCCATGTTGTCTTTGAACTTAGCCATGATGGAATGGAACTCCTCAAGATCCAGGTAGCCGGATCCATCATTGTCCCACTTGTCAAAGAGTTGATCCACCATCTGACGTCGTTTGACAGACTCTGCCTCCCGCCTCGCCTACGAACAAAACACAAGGGATTCATAGTCGAGAAATCATAAACTTTCAATACTTTTACTGTAAGACTGTAAACTTCTCTGATATGAAAATTTTGCGATAGAGAATTAAAAAACATTTTTAAGTTAAGAAACTATTGCAAACTGACAAAAGTCAGTGTGGTGTCAAATTGGGCTTTGCTTATACTGCAGCATGAAACTTTCAAGAATTTCATTCACTCACAAAATCAACAAACATTTCTGGCAGGTGAAAGTTTCTGACAGTATCACACCTAGGTCACTCACACACATGTTTGCAGAGGATCAGTGTAAAGACTTCTTTTTTTCTGTTACAAAGCAAGGGATATGAATATCACAAAACCTTAAAGGTACTATGTCCCTTTTGCAGCCAACCTCAAATGCTGTAGAACTTTGCAGGACTTATGAATATGTCATGTATGTCCTATCTGTGAAATCTAAACCTTAGCAGTGTCCTCATATTCAAATTATGCAAGGAAACCTGTTTACTTGCTAGACTTCACTGTCAGACAATATTGAGGGACTGACTGGCTTGTTTTCTTCTTTGGTAATAACATACATGAAAAGAGTTGTAAAGGGTACATGAGCATTTGTCTACATCAATAACCCACTTCTTGTAATGGCCAAGATTAAACTGATTGAATCTTTGCACAGCATAAAACGTATGACCATTCGGTACAATTGTCTGAAAATCAAGACTCAAGACTATTACTTTTGGGCTCTATAGCCTTAAAGTCGATTTGACAACGAATAGTCGTTATTTTCCTACTTGAAGACATTTTCAAGCCCCACCTTTTTTAGGGAAGTTCTAAATTAGTATTATCTTTCAAATGCAGTTGGCCTGCAAAAGGGACATAGTACTTTTAAAGGCCCACTGTACTACTTGTAGCTACTTGCTCCCTCTATATAGAAAACAATGCCTAATTGGTGGTCTCATCCCTCCTAGCCAAACTAGTACGGATAGGCTTAAATTGCATTGTTTTCTCACGAGATAGAATAATTGATTGGCAAACCTGCTGTAATCGAAGGAATTTCTCCTGCTCCGTCTCCACGTAACCCTCGGTGATGAACTTGACCAGGGCGTCGACGGCGTACTGAGGGGAATCCTCGCCCAGGAACAGCTCCACAAGCTGCACAAACTGGGAAGAGTTGAGAGCGCTCTCGTCAAAGACACTACCCGTCCTTGAGCCGCTACGGACAGTGGGCGTCTTCACAGGACTCTTGGGTCCATCTGTAAAATTGGGGATAAGGGAAAAGAGATGGGACAAACATGACCACCTGTCTACAAGGACCACATTTTCTATTTCCCTTGAAAATGTTTTCTCATTAAAACATTTTAAAGGAACCTGTCTTCAAAGACCACTTTTTGTGTTTCCCTTGGGCGGTCCCTATAGACAGGTTTGACTGTATCAATTATCAATTTTGGGTCATTGACCAGTGTACGGCAGCAAAAGAGAAAACTTCTTGAAACCCTGAGGTTACGCCTCTCTGGACAAAAAATTTCATAAAAGTGACTGAAGTGGAAAGACCTTTGTTCACTAGGGCCCGAATTCACAAAGCAAGGTTTGAGCTCAGACCAAGGTTTGTCGACAAACCTCCTTTGTGAATTCGGGCCCTCATGTACAGGGGCCCGTTTCATAAAACTTGTTATCTATAACAACTGCTAAAATTTCTATGACAAATTTGCTCTCAGCCAATCAGATGCCATGATTTCAGTAGCTAATAACAGTAGCTTGTAACTTTTTATTGATATCAAGTTTTACGAAACAGGGCCATACAGGTTGAATGGGGTGAAAAGTGATATGTTTATGAGGGTGAAGGTCAGGCCGTGACAAATTACATACTCCAGAGAGAGAGAGAGAGAAAAAAAAACCAAGGAGAGAGTAAAGGAAAATGAACAATCCAGTTAAATATTCTATTTTGTTAATAAGAGACCTTTAAATCCAAGCTGAAATCTTATCTTTTTTAACAATACCTGTACTTGGCACTATGACACTCATCCAAACTCTTTCGTTCTTTCTATGTTTCTTGTGCGCCTCGGAATAGCATTGTCTAGATAGATGGTGCTATATAAATGCCTATTATCATTATTATTATTATTTACACACTTCAACTCACCTTCACTATCAGCTTTCTCTTCTTTGAGTTTGATAGCATCCTCACGGAAAGACACACTGGTAGAACGGCCCGTTTGGGTATTGGCTGTTGTGGGTAGTAAATTACCTCTCTCTTTGGCTGAGGATGTTAGCTCTTGCGATTTGTCTTCTGTAGAAAGGAAGACATGTGGTCATGGAAATATTTACTTAACTAATAGATTTATTACAGATACAAATGTAAGTTAGTAAATAAACAAATGATTTTTGTTTAAATTTATTGTACAGGGATCAATCTGCCTCCTTGTTAAAATGTTGAGTGCTATCTTCATTAGTTCATCCAAAAGTTAGAAGATCGAGAACTCTTTCTTTTACTGTTACCCCTTCAACATCTTCCTCTGCCTGTTCTTTGTTCTGCACCAACAGATTATCATCATCAGGAAAAAATGATAATGCATCAAAATGTCATTAGAATGTAAAACTTTACAAATTGGCAACAGTGGATATATCAAAAAGTTTGCTTATTTGCTACTAACAAATTAAGGACTTGAGATTCTTCTATCTTTATTAACTGAGTGTGAGTGATACAAAAACCATTAAGAAAATCTGAACGACTTGTAAATTTTCTTACAAGTTTTGTTTTCCATTAAATAGTCCAACCTACCCCCAGCTTTAGCCTCCTCGGCACTGTTAGCAGCCTGATCACCACTTGCCACATCTTCAGCCTCTTTCTTCTCTCCTTCTGCAGGTACAGCCTCTACTGGAGCACTATCTGCAGGAGCTGCCTCTCCAGGTGTGGCCTCTGCAGGAGCGGCCTCTGTAGGAGCGGCCTCTGCATCTGCTGCACCTGCTGCAGGCGGCTCCTGCTCCTGGGGCTGCGGCTCTGTTGCAGCACCCTCTGCAGTCTCTGCTGCAGGTGCAGGTTCTTCTGGTTGGACGGACTCTGCAGTCTCCTGAGGTTGTTCTGATTCCTGATAGGATAGAAGTTTCACACAAGAAATTGATGAAGGCTTCGTATATGGCATTCATATCTGTCAAGCTTTGATGCGAATGGCGCTTAGAAATTAAACGAAGCAATCAAAGTAAATAGTAGCAAGCATATCAGGTCCACTTAAGCGGAGAGTGGCAAATGTATATTACTGTCTTGCAAAAGGACATTGTGCCTAGGATTGAAACCTTATGATTGCAAATCTGTTGAATAAACCACTATACCATGACAATTAACTCTACATTCAGTAAGATTTAACATCTTAATTTTCAAAAAATAAAAATTACCCAACTCCAATGAACTATAAGTTAAGAAAAGGGCAAAACAAAGGTTCCTGGTGAAGTATTATGGTATTATGAAATTATAAGTATCATTTCACTTTGATAATTGGTCTGCTCCAAGCTCTAGCTCGGCTTGCTAATAGATACAATCACTATCTTAGATGTTGGCAGTAACAAATGGAACTAAATAGCTTGGACTTTCCCCAAAAACAAAATAAGCAAAGCAGGTTGCAATTAATGTATGGATGTACAAATTTCATCGCAGAATAAAGTGTACAAAGAATTAATGCTAGTGTTATGTTGTGATGGGGGGGGGGGGGGTGCAAGCATAAAAAATGCAACTCTACAATTTATGTACTTACAAAATTAAGTGGCTAATAATTATGCTCTTTTTTTTATGAAGAAACATTTGAAACCTGTGCATACACATGCACATTTCAGAATAGGCTGATAAAAGAAATTTCAGGTTGACAAAATAAGTGACATCATTAATATACTGTTATGTGTTAGGGGGAAGCTAATAGGAAAGAGAAACATATAGCAAAAGTGAAAATTAGAACTTCAATAGTAATTAAATTAGATTAAAAGCATTAAATCTGCATTGAGCTATATGTAATCAAATATATTTGCTATTTGGGGGTAATCATATAAATATGACTCATACATGTAATGGCATCTAATTATGATGTTCTTCATTAAAGGGAACCAAAACCTTCATACTAAGTTACTTTTATTGTAAAGTTTAAGGTATTTGAATAAAATCAGTAAAAAATTGAGCAAAATCGGGCAAGGAATAAGGAATTTAAAGCTTTTTAGAATGACTAGTCACTAATTACCATATTCATTAATACTATATGAACAAAATGCCATTTGTTTGGGTGTATACATGTATGCAGTGAGGATTTTATAAATCTGTTTGTGTGTTCCTACTATGAGTATTGTGCTGCTAATTATTTCAGAACAGTATTTTCAGTTATGAGGCTAAAAACAAGTAAAATTATTAATAAATAGAGAATTAAAATCATATTTCCTGTTTTTTACATATTTACCGGACGCGCATCTTATTTATCGGACGGTATTTACCGGTATTTACCGCCGGTATTTACCGCCCAACCCTGCTACTTGTAGCTACTTGCTCCCTCTATATAGAAAACAATGCCTAAGAGTTGCCCGTGGGTCCCCCATGATCCTTTTTTTCTTATGTTAATTCAGAGCTGAGTTGATGAGATAGCCACCTGTCAGTCACCTTGCTGGGTGGTCTAATACCTCCTGGCCAAACTAGTATGGACAGGCTTTAAAAAATGACAACGTTTTCAGGATTTTGCTAAAGTAAAGTTTGTTGAAGTTCTGAATAAGTATTGGTGGTATCTCTCTGTCATGTAGGTCTTTAATTAAAAGAGTTGTGAACTGTGGAGTTTTTCAACAAAAAGGTGAAAGAATATTAATAGCAGGGACTCTTTTCATTAAAAGCGGGAAAAATACCACAAAAATGCTGTTAATACCTAGTAAGCTTTCATAAGTTAACAAAAAGGAGAGAGGGGGGAGGGGAGAAAGGTATGTTATATGTTCATGTACACGTATCACAGCAGGACCACTGTATTTCTACAGACAACACACTGCAGATAGATTATGCAAGAGCGATTACAGCTCCATTAGACTGAAATAGTTGAAGAATTGTTGTTTTACGACAGTGCAGTAACAGAACCAATTCATAAAGTGAACAAAGAACAAAGAGCTGGGACCCGTTTCACAAAGCCTTTTTTCAATAACAAATGAAAAATATCTGTGACAAATCTGTTGATAACCAATCAGAAGCAAGGATTTCAGTAGCTTATAACAAAAACTGTCATTTTTCACTGATGACAAGTTTTGTGAAACGCCCCCCAGGTGTTACCATACATCAAAGCAGTAATCATTAAAAGAGGTGCCACACAGCAAAGTCAAGAAGTAGAAAGCGTAAGATTTGCACAGCACTCTTGACATTCTAAAGTGCATTCACCTCCACCGGTTTCTGTGCATCATCCGACACCACAATCTCTGGGACGACACTTTCATCTCCCCCGGCCTTTGTCTTGGCTTCCTCTTGGGGAGCACCATCTGGTGGTGCCTCTTCTGCTGGAGGGGCATCCCCATTAGCTGCTGTTCCTGTTGTGTCTTCGGCTTTTGCTGTTTCTCCGGTTTCAGCCGTTTCTCCAGGGGGTTTGTCATCACTGCCTGCTTCAGCTGTTTCTCCAGGGGGTTTGTCATCACTGCCTGCTTCAGCAGTTACTCCAGGGGGCTTGTCATCACTGCCTGCTTCAGCTGTTTCTCCAGGGGGGTTGTCATCACTGCCTGCTTCAGCTGTTTCTCCAGGGGGCTTGTCATCACTGCCTGCTTCAGCAGTTACTCCAGGGGGCTTGTCATCACTGCCTGCTTCAGCTGTTTCTCCAGGGGGGTTTTCATCACAGCCTGCTTCAGCATTTACTCCAGGGGGTTTGTCATCACTGCCTGCTTCAGCTGTTTCTCCAGGGGGTTTGTCCTCACTGCCTGCTTCAGCAGTTACTCCAGAGGGGTTGTCATCACTGCCTATTCCAGCTCCATCTCCACTCTTCTCCTTGGCTGGTTCTGACTCTACCTGCTGTTCATCTGTGTCCTGTGTTTCTGTATCTTTCTTTACCTCCACCACAGTTTCCTTTTCATCTCCAGTCGCCTCCTTGTTCTCAACCGTCGCTTCTTTGGCACTGCTTTCATCTCCAGGTGTAGCCCCACCCTCTACTTCATTCCCTCCCTCTTCCACAGCACTCTCCCCACTACCATTACCAGGTGCCACACCCTCATCCCCAGGTGCCACACCCTCCTCACCAGGTACCACACCCTCCTTACCAGGTGCCACACCCTCATCCTTAGAACCTTCCCCTTCACCAACAGCAGGACCATCTCCATCTTGTTTTACCTCATCCTTTGCCCCCTCTTCTGAAGCTTCTCCCCCTTCCACCACTGCTGGAGCTGCCCCATCCTCTCCTGTCACCGTCTCCTCACCCTCCGTCTGGATAGCGCCCTCTGAGGGTACGTCAGGCTCAGGCTCCAGCTCCTTTATGCTGCTTGTCTTCACAGAGGAGATGGAACTCCCTACAGAAAAAATGCTCTCTGTTTCATCTGTCTCATTGAGCTCTATTACAGGCCCTGGAAAAATATTGGGGAGGGGAGGGGGAGAAGAAATTTATTTGTTGTCATTGACACATGATATGTCCACATTCCTGAAGAGCATTCTCGTCTGGTTATTTGTCTAGTTATGCAGTAAACTTTGAATTTTTATATTATAAGCACTTGCTAACTTTATAGTTCTACCCAAAATATCAAAACCCAAACTATATACATATGTTACATAATGATTAACAGCCCAGCTAGTGTGAACACACATGCCCATGCACATATCAAGTATAATGACACATTAATGTTTATCATTTTGTTTTATCACTCCAGCATCCTCCATTACATGTAGGACATAATTCATTTCATTGTGGAATTGCCTTTGTACTAAGTAAAGCCAGAGAGATCATTTCAAAAGCTCATTAGAAATGCATCTAGCTGTATTATACCACTGTAGTATAAAAGACTGAAAAACTAATGATACTATAGTGATAATCTTCTTACATTTCCTTGGATTTCTCAAATGACGCTTGATAGACCAGGGCACGTTTTCCCAGAAGTTCTCGAAGAGTCCCAGCACCCTATGCCTGTTGAGGATGCCCACATCGGCATTGTCGATACCAGTGAAGAGAGACAGAAGAATATCCCTTCGTGCCTCCAGCACGGCAGCATGTCGATAAGCAACAGCACACTGCGCCATGTGGCTCATGAGTGAATCATAAAGTTCAGGAGCCAACTTCAGGACGTACTTCTTGAGATACTGGAAAGTCAAGTTTGAACGGTAAAAGCAAAAATCAAGAATAAAATGATGCTACTATCAGGAGGGAGGGGTTGTATTTATTTTTTCCTTTGCTCTTTTTTATTTTTCATCATCCATGCCTGCATCAAATTCTACAAATAACAATACTGTACAAACTTCAGAACTTTTATGAAACTTACAAATTTTAAATGCTTGAGAGACTTTGATAAAATACTTCCAAACATCCTATTTTGAGTTGTTACACATTTTTTAATGAATGCGACAAATCATCATATTACCTGGACAAGGTTAGCAGACCCTGTTTTTTTTTCTTTAATTACATAGATACATTATATTCCGAATCTATATCTACCTCTGATAACACGCTTTTATACAGAGCATTTATTCATACACCAAATATAAAAGTTACTTAAACTCTCAGAGTTTTAAAGCAAGTAGTCACAAGTGTAAGATACGTGGAGAAAAGCACACTTAGAACAGTACATGGTCTCTTACCTGTGCAAACTCTTCCTCATGAAACTGTTCTTCGTTAGCATCTAATTTATCCAATTCTGCAAGGAAGTCGGATGCTACATAAAGGAAGAATGACAAAAAATTATCAATTCTCTAATAGCCTGAATGTACCCAAATGAAGGGTAGCTAGAAAACGTTGTAGCAATTATAGTTTGGTTTAAATTGTGTAAGAGAATAATACTATACAAGACTATTAGATTCAAGATTCCTGTCACATTTAGGGTAAAAGTGAGCATTAGTGTGTCAGTTTCTCAATTCTAAGTTTGGTAACTAGACAGATAACTTCTTTTGTCGAAGAAGTATTTTTCACATGAAATATATATTCAAAATTTGGGACAAAATACATTATATATTCCTTTTAAAATTTGCCTAAAGGCTTTCCAATTGGCATTCTAAATTCTTTGAGAGATCTGTAAAGTTTTTACAGAATCATGCACTATTCAAGCACTGTGAACATTGAAAAAGAATAGTGAACTATCCAAAACATAATTAGCTGACCCAGAATATAAGAGACCATGATTAATACACCTAAATGTATGTTTACATGAAGATTTTGATTTCATAGGCAACTGTTTTGATCTGAACATTTTGTTTACCTTTCTTGAATTCTTCTGGCAAGTTTTCTAGGACCTCTCTGAAGGATGTGAGTGAATTCTGAATAGCCCTCTGCTCTACCATGCCTTCAGGGTCCAGCAGCCAATCCTTGTACTGCCTGCGGATGTGAGCAGATCTACGACTCTTCTCCTGGGTCTGCAATGCTTCTGTACGCTCCATCTGCTCACGTTTCCTCCTGGTTTCTGCTTTGACCCGGGCAAGTCTAGGCAAATAAAGATGAAATAAGATTTTAAGGTAATATCCAACTACTATTAGAATATAGGTTGATAGCAAGCACATTTATTTGAGTGGTGATGGTAAAATAGAATTCCTTGAATTATGATGATACCTATGAATTCAGGTACATTTTTACCAAGTATATAGAATTAGAGCAACATGGATTCTTGAAGGGAAGAAGAAAACCATTTAAATGAGGAATAAATGTAACATCTTTTTAATCATAATGTAAAAGATTGATTTTAAATTCATCTTGAACAGTTTCCAAATGATGGTTCATGAATGGTCTCTTTCATCTCCAAGTCCCTTTATGTCATTTTTTTAATGTAAATGGCCAATATTCAACCATATCAATTCCTTAATCCTACACCAACATCTGTTTCAATTATGGTTGAGAAAACACAATACAGAATTTTAAATTTCACTTTATCAATGACTTTCTTTTATAAGCCTTGTAAATTGTAATAAAGAAGGGTAAGTTATTCCCATTTTCTACTCATTGCAATGTATAAAAAATCTTACAGACAAATAACCTCTCACCTATTGTCTTCAAAAGAAAAGACATACTGCTTCAATTCATCTGTGACTTCTTGCATTCCCCTGATGTATGGTGAAGCTTCTGGGAAGTTGCTATAACGAGGGTTATTTCTCATCAGGTATTGTGCCAAATAGTTCAGAGGATTGAAATTTGGATCTGCCTCATTCTTCTCCGTCAGGTCCCGCCTCTCGGCCTCTATGAGCAGCTTTTCAGTGCCTAAGATGAGGGTGGGGAGCAGTTTTTCCAGTAAATAAGCCCTAGCATCCACAGTCAATTCATTTCTGTTGAGCCATTCAACGGCTAAGGCATCGATGGGAATGCGACGAGCCAGCTTTTTCTTTTCTTCCTTGATATCCTTGACACGCTGCTTCTTGGATTCCCGCCTCTCCTTGAAGCGCTCGATCACCTTCTGCTCGTGGAAACGTTTCCATCTCCTCACAGCCGTTTTGACGATTGGACTTAGGTACTCGTTCAGTTCTTTCTTTTCCCTCAAGGATCGGACAGAAGCGGGTCTCTCTGTGGATGAGGGTGTAGACCTGGCATTTGAAGGTGGACGATGGGCTGGAACATATTTGATTCTCCCGGAACTGTGTCTGCTGTGAGCACTCTCGGTGAATCCTACCCTTGATGATGATCTTGAACCTGACTGAGAGGGTGGGCGGGGTTCCATCATACTTCGGCTACCAGCAGGACTGACAGCCTGTACTTCCGCCATGTTGTCTCACCTCTCAATCCTTTAATATCTTACTTTTTTCTGGATATAAAGAAACAATTAATATGGTATAACTATAAACCATTAATAAACAAAACAATCAAACAAATGTATGACGGGGTTTGTCCGGAAGCTTAAAACAAAAACAAACACGTTAAAGCTAGTATGGGGTCCATCCAATTTACGGTTAGACTTCATGCATTGCACTTGTATACTATGTAGGAGTAAAGTGAGGACAATCACGAGCACTCCAGCAATTAAAACATAGAGTCAATGCTAATGCATATTGACCTCTATCGCTGTATACTTGCTGAGAGGTAGCAATTGCACACAATGCACACATTGCAAACTAATGCACGCAATGAATACGAAGTGGTTGATCGGCATGTTTAACAGTAGACTCACGATTTGAATTTTCAAAGTATTCTTTCTAACATCGGTTGGTTGAAGAGGTTATATTTTACTGCCATTTTATATACGTGTTGGATCATCATCTATCTACCGTAATGAGGATCCGAGACATTATTTAGGGTAGGCCTAGATCTAGATCTAGATAAGTAGATTATCTTGACAGGCGCGCAGCACGCGCCCCCTGCCCGCAACCCACCATCGGTAAGTACTTGTATTGTGCAGCGGTTTGCCGCAAAACGCTGTGAAAAAGTGTATAGTCTAATACGTTTATCCCAAAAAATACTCCAAACATAACAAGAAATTTGACACAAAACAGGTAGGTCTAATAAACATAGAAACGACTTTTATTACTCATGGTCTTTATTTGGACATTAATAATGAATATTCACTTCATTTTGGTATGTTTTTAGTAGGGACTAAGGTATCTCCACGCCGGAGTTACGGGCAAATTTTGGATAGGTTTCTGAACAAGCGCAAAATTAAAACAACAACACAACAATTCTAAATTGTAACCTACGCAAATGCAAACGAATGGGACTTAAGCCCGCCGTTGGGTTGCAGGTAGAGCCTTGCGCGCGAGACGTTTATTTATTTATGAAGAATCTTTCAAAGTAAGAATAAAACAACCTTTAAATATAAAATAATATGAGTTAATACATATAACAACAATTTCAAAACAAAACAAAACTATGAAAATAACAAATAACGATACCTTTTTACTCCTCAATATTTCGGGTTGTTTTACTGTGCGTTGCTATGGTGCACGATCATCTGGATTTCTGAGGTCCGGCGAGCGCCCTCTATAGCATACGACATTATAGTCGGGTATACGGCCGTCCAAAAAAAAATCCTCCTCTCTCTCTCTCTCTCTCTCTCTCTCTATCAATCAATCTCGATCTCCTCTCTTTTTATATTTATCTCTCATCATCTAATCATCTCTTCCCTTTTCCCTCTATAATTGATCTGATAATCCTAGTTATAATCACATTTCTCTTTTCGTACTGTTCTTTTCCCTTTCATTTTGAAGAAGAAAAAACCCTGAAACTTATTAGTTGTTCCAATGTTTTCCTTCACAGTGTGAAACTTTTTGTATATTTTATATATACATGTACGTATACGTGTATGTGGCCTATTTTATTCCCCCACAAAACAAATAAGCCACAAACTTTTTTTTTAATCTGAGAGGAAGAGAATTATAAAGGAAAACTCGCTTGCATTGGATTATAAACATAATTTGTATCACCTATAAAATGTACTTACAAAATAAAGGGTCAACGTTATATTTTCTACTTTTTAGCATGTGTCTCATTTGAATATTTAATTATATTGCTTTAGACCATTTCTTTTCATTTCATTTTAATTTTCTCATTTTATAACAAAATACAATACATAATAACGAATACAATGTAAAATGTATACAAAACATACTTACATTTGTAATAAACAAATCTTAATAATAATTTATACATTTGATGCGGAAGATAATTTTTTTTTTAATTAACTGCATTTATATTTTGAGGAAATGGAGAGGTCCACTGAAAAGCAGAGCTTGTAAATTGTGGACCCCTCAGATCATAAAGAGTGTGAAAATAATATGGAATACATCATCAATCAAAGAAGAATAGCGGCCGACAGAGACAACACTTAGGCCCGAAATCACAAAGGAGGTTTGTCGACAAACCTTGGTTTTCGTACGTCATAATATGACGCTTTTTACGCGTTTTTTACAAACCTGGTATGTAAAAACGCGTCGAAACGCGTCATAAAAAAAAAAAATTATGACGTACGAAAACCAAGGTTTGTCGACAAACCTCCTTTGTGAATTTGGGCCCCAATGACTGTAAACAAGAAGACGTAACAAATTACATGACGAAGAAGGAACAGAAAAAAGAAAGGAAAAAAACTCGGAGGGGGAAAAAGAAGAAAAAATGTGGGCTGCGTTTGGAGGGAAGGAGAGGAGAGAAAAGGAAAATTGTAGAGATCGAGCACGGTATAGGGAGCGCACAAAATCCTTGGGATAGCTGAAACAAAAGGAGCAAGAACATGATGGCAAGTAGTTTTGTTTTTTAGAGATGGGCAGAAGAAAAGAGGGAAAGAAAGAACAATTGGGAAGGAGATGTTCAATCACAATAAATTTCTTAATATTGTAAGATTGTAATAAGGAATTTTTTTTTTAAAGCAAATTAGTGAAGGGGAAGTTTTCAAATCGTTATGCAGAGTATTCCAAAATTTAGGGCCTTCAAAAATGAACGTATTCTGTGCAGAACATGTTCTCAAATGAGGTAAGTGAAACTCATCGGATTGTCGAGTGGGGTATCTATGAACAGCATGTTTTTTAAGAAACATATCATTGAACACAGAGGGCAATATACCACTATTGTAATTAAACATATTTTGACCGAGCTGAAATAAGAACAAATCCTTAATTTTTAAGATGTTATTTTAAATTTTAAAAAAGGATCAGTATGGGAGCGTATGGGGGCATTATATATAATAATATAACCTTTTGCAGCAGTAGAACTCTTTCCATCAATGATTTACCATGATTTACGTCATTAAACAAAAATATAGTGACCTGCCAGCGACAAAAAAATGGTTTCAAAATATGCCTATTTTACCGTAATGAAATGTCTACAACCCCTGAACTTCCGGGGGTCCGCCCCCTGGACCCCAAGCCAATTTATGACCCGTTCCACCTATTTGTAAATACATCCACTTTGAGAAAAAGTGTTTCGCAGGGATTGCCCAGTATACCCTGCCCAACAAAACCAGAGGGTTGTACTTTTCTTCATCACTGACTGCCAATTAGTTACCTTTGAAAATTTACGGAGTGCATTTTTTTTTTAAATACTGTTATTCAACCCATAATACATGATATGTTATGACAATGAGAGTCTATTTAATAAGATGAAGCAATACGACCATTATGTTCGAGTGAGCACTACCTTGTACCTCATTATAAAAATATCATTCTCTTTTGTTGTTTTGTAAACAAGCGTATTTCAAAATGCTGAGCAGAAATGATTAACAACACGCCAGAAGGGATCTCTGCAAATGTCATATAGTTCTGAATAGTTTGCCCCTCAGTAGATACAATCAATGTTACAACCATGAACAGCAATTGTTATCGCAACAAGATAGAAAAGGTAATTCATTTTTTAATATGTGGTTAAACATAACACCAAGTATTGTACATGAACATTTCCTGCGCCATACAGGCCATGGCCTTGCGATCCATTGTCAGGTGGCCCAGAAATACATATTAAGCCGTGATTCCATGAGCATCAATATCATATCAATCATATATGAACGATCATCGCCTCTGATATAATTATCCCCTGCCGCTCTCCCGCCAAAACTGGTTGCCATGGTAATTGCGGGTCATAAACATTGTATTATCAATATTGACATTACTGAGAGGATAATACGCGCTTAAGAAATAAAAGAAAGCGATTGTCGATGTAATCATCAGCCTCTTTCATTTCATTAAACACTATTGTTGTAAGATGTATAGTCAATGTTCATGATATTCATTGTGTTAATTAAAACTCAATCAGATGACAATCTAAAAGCAACACGAGCATTTTCATTTGCAACGTATCCTTGGAGCTATTACGAGTTATGATAACACTGCAATATGAATTCAGTCGAGAACTTTATATCATTTTTCTTCTTCAAACGATACTATATAAGCCTAGGTTGACGGAGAGTGAGGATGATTATAGTGGAGCAGCTAAGCAGCCGTACCAGATGAGCTACATTTTATTCTCGATCTAGCTACATAGACAACAATCATGTTGATTTGTGAGAAATATTTCACCCGTTTTTCTTCTTCAAAATTCACTTTCGTTGTAGCGATTTTGGCAGGCTGTCGTATCCAAGCTGCCGCGTGTAAGTAAACATTAAAATTTTGAAATCTTGTTGCAATGATATCAAGTTTGTAACTTATTTTTATTTTGAAGGTAAAGCAGAAGTTCTGAAATGTATAATGTGGAAAGTACGTTACTCAGTGTTGTTGGTTCGAAAGTTGCATATTTTGCCCAACTCTTGAAAGAGTGTACCCTTCATGACTGTTCAAATCTGAGGCTACAAGAAATCTATGTCCGGTAATTGTGAATCCTAAACGTGATTCGAAATTACCAATCTTTTTAATTATCAAAACACAAGTTTATTCATTCACAGAAATTAATTCCGTGACTTTATAAAAATGTATCCAATGCATTCTGGTTACATTAATATCAAACAGGGAATGGTAGACGGAATTGATAGTTTATTACTTTCGAAAGTTAGTGGCGATATATTATTCTGCTTCTCATGACTTGCATTTATTTATGGTTGATATTTTAAAAGGTAAGTTTAATAATAATAATAATAACGATAATAGTGGTGGCTTCTTATAACGCGCATGTCCATCACCTCATAACGATCAGACGTTATTACAGTCAAACCTGCTTTAGTGACCACCTGTCTACAAAGACCACCTGTCTATAAAGACCACGTGTTTTGTTTCCCTTGAAAATTGTGCGCTTGTAAAATGGCGACTGGCTGGAATACTCCCCAGGGAGTGGAAAATGTGCATACATTGTGTGCGGGTAAGCCTGAATCCGATGACCGGGGTAATACTATATATCTGTAAAGCGCTTAGGCACATCGTTGGATCGATGTATTGAGCGCTATATAAACACGGAACATTAGTATTATTATTATTATTGAACATGTACATGTACTAAAGGAACCTGTTTCCAAAGACCACCTCTTGTGTTTCCCTTGGTTGGTCGCTATAGACAAGTTTGGCAGTATTACCCCGGTCATAGCTGGCGCCTAAATATTATTATGTAGCGCTTTTAGATTGCTGTATTGGCCTATTAACTGTATGTATCAGATTTAAAATTCCATTTTTAATTAATAATGATAGTGCACTGCCTGGTTCATAGTACAGTGCTGATCAGTGATCATAATGAGATGTGAAAACATGTTTCTCCCCTCCCCCCTCCCCCCTCTCTCTCTCTCTCCCTCTCTCTCTCTCTCTCTCTCTACTCTCACTCTTTCTCTCTCTCTCTCTCTACTCTCACTCTTTCTCTCTCTCTCTCTCTCTCTTCCTCTCTCTCTCCCTATCTATCTTTTCTTCATCTCTTTCTTCTCCACTTTCTCTTGATCCTCTCCCAAGTCCCCCCTCACCTTTCTACCTCTTTTTTATTTTTCCTTTAACGTTTATCTTTTCACAAAACATAGCCTTATGTGAATCAGGATGGAGAGATTTTTCGTCCAGTTGCTACTTCGTATATACTCCTTCCTCGATTTGGAGCGCGGCGTTTACTGTTTGTCAAGGCCTAGAATCTTCGATAGTCGAGATCACATCCGACGAGGAGAACGATTTCGTCAAAAGCATCGCACCTGGATGGCACACATGGCTTTACTGCAGAGACCATATTGTAGAAGGGGAATTTGTTTGTGGAGCTGACGATCATCAAATAACTTACACGGGTAGATAGCTGATATTCCGATTAAATCCTTCTTTTCATGTTATTTATTTTTCATCTATATCCTTCTTTATTTTTTCAGCGTTGAGCTTTTGCTGTTTACACCCTTTTAGTGAAGATACATTGGAATAATAGTGATTAAAATTAAAGGTAGCATTTTGGCTATCAATTTTTCTAAATATCAAAAGATCTATGATTGAAAGTTTCTTAATAAAAATGGAGGTTGCCACACTTTCGAAGAGACAATATCGGATCGGTTGCATCTTGACCTGGCACCCCCCCCCCCCCGATCCGCCACAAATTATACCTCTATGTTAACTCATTATTATCAAAATTGT